GGTTGTCTTTTAAAAAAATAAAATTGCAAACTAAAAAAACTCTTAGTAAATATATCCGTGAGCGGAAGATTAGAAGGCACATCTTTGACAATAAGATCTCCATGAGAATATATGTCTGCAGCATCAAGCGGCGAACTCAACAGCGCGCTTGAAGCAAGCACCGTGGTCAGCGACGCGGAGAAGGTGGGCTGCGCGGACATAGGCAGCAGCAGGCGGCGAACTCAACGGCATGCTGGAAGCAAGCACCGTGTTCAGCGACGCGAAGGAGGTGATTTGCGCCATATTAGCCGCGCTCATCTTCAAAGGATCGGAGACTACCGTAAATGTGGCGGCAGTCGACCCCGAGGCGGCGGCGGCTATAATAAGGTTCATGGGAACCGAAAAAAGAAAAAAAATTGTATCTACAAACCTAGAGCTCTTGATACCATGTGAAATAATGGGAAAGAGGTACTCCAATAGGAGTCCTGGCAGATATATTTATAATAGAAAAGTTGCCAAAATACAAAGTATTCCTAAATAGATATTAGGCAGATTCCTAAATATCTATTAGGTAGATTCCTAATTATATTAGCCTATTAATATCTAAATGCAATCATGAAATTAAAAATTAATTTTTAATTTATTTTTTCTAAATGTCTATTTTTTCCTTATAATGATACAATTCATTCTTCTGATATATACCCAACAACCAATCTAGATTATATACTTCTTGTGAGTACTATCTTATACAACAACAAATTCTACAAATCAATAATATATGTTGTCATTAATCTTGTAATTCATAAGATTTTCTTTTGTTGTATTAGTATTAAGGATAATAATTAGAAATTTTAAATTTTATATTCTAAAGTATTAAGAAAGAGAGTGTTTGTAGCAATAACCCTACACATAAGTACTCTCGATATATAGTATTTAGAAAGAATGAAAGATGGTTATGTTTAGATGAGGACGGTCGATTCAAAGGTCAAATGTGTGAACACAACTCTATGACAGTAATTGATGTAGATGAAATCACAGCGCCGTTACGAAACAAATAAGCTAGCTAGCAAAAGTTGTAGAGTATGTGAAGGAGACTAAACTTGCTTTTTTACTTTAGTAAATCCTGCAAGAATTTCAGCAAGAAAAACTGGCTTATTTTCATATCAACTATTTTTTGATTTTGATTGAATACTACCTTCATCTCATAGTGTAAGATACATATGAGTCTGACACAAGGTTTAAGAAGAGTAAATGTTGACGTTACCGTTTTAAACTTTCTATGTTTGACATCACAAAAATAAAATAAAGTATGAAAACACAAAAACTGGTGGTTTAAATGACATTCCAAGTTATTGCATGTACACACTAATATATTAGCATACTATGTTATACATATTAATATATTATACACATGTTTCTTTATAAGTGGTTATATATTAATATACATCGCCTAGATATGAGTATTTAATCAATATATGCATACTTTGCCAATGGGCCATACAGGGGCTTTGGTCCGCGTACTCTAAAATTGACAATAGAAAAACTATGTATAATTTTTATAATTTTAGTATCAAAATTTATAAGAAAAATCATTTATTTGTGCAAGCCTTAATATATCACTTAGCTAATTTATCTATAACTAAATGAAAGAAAACAAAATTATTGTCTTCTCCAATTCATCATTTTTTGCTAGTAATATACATAGAATGAATTATTATGAACTACGTGCAAACTTTTCTATCGAACATTGGATTACGATGTTTTCTTTGTGATAATATTTACATAAAAATATGCACACGCAAACACACGTTATGAAATTGAAAAAGTTGTAGACTTCGTGAAGGATACTATGATTAGCTTCATACTTTAATAAATTTAGCAAGGATTTCAGGAAGAAAAAATGACTAATTTGTACAATTATTTTTTGTTTTAGTTTAAATTCTCATCTTGTCCCTTAATATAAGATATATTTGAGTTTGACATGGATTTTAAAAAAGTAAATAATAAAGTTGTTGTTTTGCATGTCTATCCTCTAAAAAGTAAGATAAAATAAGATGAACCCACAAAATATGACGGCGAAATGATATATAAGGGCTAGGGGTGAGCATTCGGTCGGTCGGTCAAATAACCGACCGATAACCGAATAACCGACCAATGTTTTTTCCTCTCATAACCGACCGAAAACCGACCGACAACATTACAAAAACCGACCGAAAAATGTCATTCGGTTTCGGTCGGTAACCGAATAACCGAACATAACCGACCAAAACATATAATTTTCAAAATTATAAAAGTTGTAGATAGCACATTAATAAATAAAATAATAAATACCAAAATAGATTCAACATATTTAAATGTAAATAATTGTTCTTAGCACAATACGATTACAAAAACTAAAAAATCCCACGTTGAAACTACTTCATTGTTCCACAGTTGTCTTTTTCAATCTGAAAACAAAATAAAAAAGAATATGTTAGCAAATAAATAAGCTAATATCTTATTAATCTTTACACCCCAAATGAGCAAACTCGTCTAAAAGTTTCTGAGTATTTTAAATCCCACTAAAGAAAAAATTAAAAATCAAAAGATCTGCCATGTTGAGTAAGATAATAAAGGATCTAGAAAACATTAAAAGAAAAAATGTGTGCAATTTCGCAACGATTAAATAAGGATTTCGGTTGATTTTTCTTTACCAAGGTTGATTCCTCCAGAACTAATGAAGGTGTACGTGGAGGTTTGAAATTTTGAACAGGGTGTTCCATGAATTGATTATAAGAATACAAGTTAAAGAAATGGGGAAGTGGATAATTAAAGAACGGGCTCCATAGCATTCCATTGATGAGTTTTGTAGGTGGAGTTCAATAGATGTGGGCTGGACTTCATATTTCATTACTATGGAGTTCTTTTTTTATCGTTACTATGGAGTTATTAATTTATTATGGAGTATATTAATTATATTTACTTAAATATTTACAAAAAAATAAAAAAAAAATAAAAAAAATCGGACGGTTATCGGTGACCGACTGATATCCGACAAATAAAACCGAATAAAAACCGAATAACCGAATAACCGATTATTTTTAATTTATGATAACTGATAACCGCCCGAAAACCGATTTTTTCGGTCAGTTCGGTCATCGGTTTTCGGTCAGGTTGGTTGAATCGGTTATTTGCTCACCCCTAGATAAGGCGACAAAGTGCGAAAGAAAAACGATAGTGAAATTTAATTTAGGAAAGTGTTTATAGTCGTGAGACAACTCAAATAGAATATATCTTATAAAGTGAGATTGGGTGAGTTATGTTTTATTCAAATAGATAAGATTTGTTTGTTTGACACTTATAATTGTGAGAATAATAATATTATTTTTGTGAACATATTATTTTATACTACATCCATCTCTTTGAGATCTTCATAGGTTAAATAACATACACTCTAAGGAGTGTTGTTTCTTTGACTTCCTGAAATATTATTGTGTTGAAGGTAAATATTATGGCAGAGTACAATTTTTTACACTATTTGATAGAGTTTAACATTATTTCACAATGCATAGTCATTATTATTTAAAAGTAGTAGCGTAAGTTGATAAAGAATTATATGATTTATTTTGGGAGTCCTAAAAAGAAAGTAGGAGCGAAGTTTTTTAAAGAAAGGGGGGGAATATTAATTTTTTATTGTTTGTGATCTTGAACTTTAATTAGGTTATAATCGTAAGCGATCAATTTTATTCAAAAATACTTTAACTATATAGCCTTTTCTAGCTTAAAGTCTCTGAATTACGCGACAAATCACAATGTCGTCACGGAACAAATAAGCTAGCTAGCAACAGCTGTTGGGTGCATAAAAGAGGTTAGGCTTGTCAGTTTACTTTAGTAGATTTCGCAAGATTTTCAGGAACAAAAAAAAATAGTTTGTGCTGTGTGAAATTAAATTGCATTCAGAAATATCTAAGTTGCTTTCATCACTTAAAATTTGTAAATAATGTCGACTTTGGGTCTTTTGGTTTGTTATAATTGAGAATTGATGGCGATGAAGCTATCTTCAATGCGTAGTTTATATAATTAAGGAACACTAAGAAAGTAGAAGACTTTAAATTATGTCAAACGTCTAAATTCTTGTACTTTCAATCAATAAAAGTAGTTTTGTTTACTTATATATAATTACAATTAGACATTCATACGATCTGTTTTATCTTCAACTGTACCAAATAAATTGAATATTTTCTTTAAAATATAACACACACATGTGTGTATCCGGGATACACTTTAAGAAGAATATATTTTCTATGGCATAGTACATAGTTACACACCACGTATTGTAGAGCACAATGTTAGTACAATATCATTTAATTTTTTACCCTATAAGTTCTTTCATAATCATGTCTAGATGTATTAGTCTTTTGTTTAATAGACTATGTACTTTATGTGAGATTGAAGCGTGTAAATAAGAGGGTATTATGATCAAACAAATAATACTATACGATTAATTTTCTATTGCTCCAAGTGATCTCACTTATTAGAAATACAAATGGCAATACTCTCACTTGTCATTAGTCCGTTTAAATATGAGCGTAATTTCTATTTTTTTGAACATAAACTAAAGAAAAATGAATGACTATATCTATAAATTCATCAAATTTTTGTATTGAAATAACTACAATGAACTACACACAATTCTAATTTGGCACACTAGATTGAGATGTTTTCTAAGTCTATATATGCATGTATTGACTATATATACACATTTATGTAAGTATATTAAATCAATAGTGATGTTTCAATTAGAAAGATTAAATGTGAGTTAGATAAGTTTTCAAAATGTAAGTTGATCACACTGTTCAAATCCTACATCGATAGACTATTACGTTATGTATGATTCAGAGATTTGAAGATCTCAAGAATGAAGAAATAACAAATTTCCTTTTACTATTAAAGGAATGAAAAAAGGTTGTCGTTTCAACAAGTGTGTCAGATGAAGAAGATATAAATGGCGTGGGTGTAATAATACATATGATGTAAGGATAGTTTTTTATTACGTTAAGTAGAATCACTTATTAACATATACATCATACAATAATGATTTGTTGGTAAAACGATGTTTAATGCATAAGTACGAGTTAATTGTTGTGTGATTAAGCATATGTTCTGGTAAAATTTATTAGTAAGCAATCCCTAAATGGACAAACTATTATACTCCCTCCGTCCCAAAATGGTTGGCCAATGTTGACTTGCACGTGGATTAATAAAGTAAAAACTGTGTGGTTGAAATTTGTGCAGAGGAGAGAGAATTAACTTTAGCCACATATTCATTACTTTAAATGGAAATGGCCAACCTTTTTGGGACGGCCAAAAAAGGAAATTTGGCCAACCATTTTGGGACGGAGGGAGTATTGCTTAAAAAAATTAATACCTAAACTTAGTGTTGGGATATATTATCCCGGCCTATTACTGTTCAGGAGCCCAAGACATTACTCAGTACGGAGCCCGAGCAGTTAGGCCCATTCCGGCCCATCCGGCCCACTTTAGCCATTTGGGCCCACTCTGGCCCGTTTGGCCCATTAGGGTGGAGAGCCCCTTCTCCCCTTCCCCTATTTATAGGAGGTTTTCCCTCCATGTAAAGGATCCCTTTGAGCTTCTTCTTCCCTTTTTCTCTCTAGCCAGCTCTCTAGATTAGATGATACTCCATGAATTGGAGCTTGAATACTTGTACTATGTAACGGTGAGGAGAGATTAATGAGAATGAGAGGGCTTGGACATTAGCCTAAAAAGTCCCGTGGTTTTCTCCCTTTCGGGTTTCCACGTAAAAACTGAGTGTTCATACATATATCTATTATATCGTGTTGGATTAAACTCAACACTGGCGCCGTCTGTGGGAATCTGTCCAAAAAGATTCATGTATTCTACTGTTCTTGAGTTTCTACAAGAAAAATTCATGTGAAGTGGACTGATTCCAGCAAAAAAGTGAAGAAAAATGATGCTGGAAGCACCCAGATCTAGTAAGAATCGGAAGAAATAGCGATTGCTGGCCCAGTCCAGCCGCGACGCTGCACCAAGACGGAGGTGGAGTGCGAGCTCCGCCCTCAAACTTCGTCATCAGTTGCGGCTCCTTCCTTCAGTCGCGGCACCGGCGGACATCGTAGCAGGGGCTCCCCAACCTCACCGGTTAGTACGACCTTTCTCTGTCTGTTGCAGCTCCACCTCGAGCCAGAGGAGTTTTCTTCCGTTAAATGGCCGCTTAGAGCTTAAAGAGGGGACATTCTGAAGTTCTGCCGGACTCCCACCGGAGGCAGGCATCCGTCGCCGTCCCTGCACCTTTGGCGACCTTCCCTAACAACCGCCAGCAAGCGGCCAGCAGGCGGACAACACTTCAGTTGTTCTTGGTTGGAAGCGAGCCACGTCGTGGAAGGAGGGATGTGGACCAAGTCCTCATTTGGGATTGATGAGCTTCGCATTATTTGAGTAGCCGACATATTTAGCCAGCATGTTGGGGAAGTGATTGTTGACTCGGTCAACATATATCCCTTGAGGCATTCCAATCCGGGGTGCACGCTACAAGAGTTAAGTTTTCACAAAAAACCTTGGTCATTTACTAATAAGAGTAGTTATTCGGACAACAATATTAGTATTGCTAGTATTTTGATCACCATTATTTATAAGGGATTAAAACTCCCGAAATTAAATAATGAGAGCGATGCTCTAAGTGATAATTAATTTCACCGTCATTTTAATTAATGATGGGTTGTGGTGGGCCCGTTGGCCCGCTCCCGATCGGCTTTGATTAGCGAACAAAGCGTATCTGAATGGCTTATGGTAGGATAATACTATTATTACTACCCGTACAGCACTATTATTTATTAGGGATAAAATGTCCCGAATTAAATAATGCTGAGCGAGGCTCAAGTGATGGTTAGTTCAGCTAACATTTTATTAAGTATTTAATTTCTTGTGGCCCCGATGGCCCACTCTCGATCAGCTTGATTAAGCGGTCTGAGCGTCCCCAAAAGGGCGATGCCCCAACGACGCATTTTAATTTGAGGGTTGCACGTTAGTCCGCACGGCACTACGTGCCCGATCGACGATCGTACCCCAGTATCATCTACGCCATTAGGCGAGAAGTGACCCTTGCCAGACGCGGCCTGTGGGGCCTCGAGGGCACCAAAGCGCTCAGCCTCGTGTTTCCGAGGGCGGTGCGACCAACTTGGGTCTGAGTTTGAAAACTCACAGACCGATGAATATTTCTATGTGACGTCCGGCGGGCTGCTAATTGGCCCCGCCGCGAGCTGCTACGTCCATTAACCCCGCACGATGAGCCGGGCCGAGGGTCACGATGACCCATAGGCCGGTAATCGTGGGTGTTAGAGAGAAGGCCATGCAGATGGTTATGTGTGCATATTTATTGTCGGGCCGTGCGGCCCGTTATCATGCTTATTGCGTAGCTGAAGCCACTCGACGCGCTTGAGCGAAATGATTAGAAGACGCTCGGCCCGAGTCTTGAAGACGTGCAGGGCCGGCTAAAGAGGAGACCATCACGGCTGAGGACCGTGAGACGAGCATCTCCACCTAGAGGCCGAGGGCCTAGAGGAGACCACCACGGTTGAGAACCGTGGGACGAGCATCTCCACCCCAGAGACCGATGGCCTAGGAAGAACACCTAGAGGCCGAGGGTCTAGAGGGAACTGCCACGGCGAAGAACCGTGAGACGATCATCCATCATTCCAGAGGCCGAGGGCCAAGAGGAAACCATCACGGCTGAGAGCCGTGATACGAGCATCTCCACACCAGGAGCCGGTGGCCTAGAGGAGACCACTACGGCCGAGGGTCGTGGGACCATCCTTACATCACGACTGACCTCACGGTACGGCGTGTTTATCACCTGAAGACCGGTATCATCCCCGCGCTGCGCGGATGAGAGCCGTTGCACGGATACACTTGATCGGCTTCTCATTGCCGACGTCATTATATCATGACCGGCCTCTCGGCATGGCATGATTATCTTATTTGAAGACCGGCCTCGTCCCCGCTCCTCGCGGATGAGGGCCGTTGCTTGATTCTTCCGGTCGGCCTCTCATTGCCGACATCATTATTTCATGACCGGCCTCTCGGCACGGCGTGTTTATCCTTTGAAGACCAGCCTCGTCCCCGCGCTGCGCGGATGAGGACCGTTGCTTGATTTTCAGGTCGGCCTCTCATTGCCGACATCATCATATCACGACCGGCCTCTTGGCACGGCGTGATTATCATATTTGAAGACCGGGCTCGTCCCCGCACTGCGCGGATGAGGACCGTTGCTTGGATTTCAGGTCGGCCTATCATTGCCGACATCATTATATCATGACCGGCCTCTCGGCATGGCATGATTATCTTATTTGAAGACCGGGCTCATCCCCGCGATGCGTGGATGAGGACCGTTGCTTGATTTCAGGTCGGCCTCTCATTGCCGACACCATTATGTCACGACCGGCCTCCCAGCTCAGTGTGTTTCCCATACTTGAAGACCGGTTTCATCCCCGCCCCTCACGGATGACAGCCGTTGCTTGTTTTCTCAGATCGGCCTCTCATTGCCGACATCATTACATCACGACCGGCCTCCTGGCTCGGCGTGATTATCTTATTTGAAGACCGGCCTTGTCCCTGCCCCTCGCGGACGAGGACCATTGCTTGATTCTTTCAGGTCGGCCTCTTACTGCCGACACTATCATGTTATGTTCGGCCTCCCGGCACGACATATTTATCTTTTGAAGACCGGTTTCATCCCCGCGCTGCGTGGATGAGAGCCGTTGCTTGGATATATCGGCTTGATCGGACACTATTGTCATCTCCTTATCAGGACCGACTGCTCAGCGACATTATGATCATTATATATCGGCTCCCGATGCCGACCTTCTTGAGTTAGCGATCGGGCTCACCCCTCCCCTCCAGGAGGGTGACCATCGCCTTCGCATGACGACCAGCATTTCCATCGCCTCGTCATCCGCTTCATTTTGGTATCCCACCACCGTTATGTGTGACATCACTTGTGGTCATTCTTGGAAACCGACGAACGAATTTTCCTCCCTCAAAAAAAAAAACAAACAAAAAAAAAGATGGGGAGAAGGGGAGAGAGAAGCTCCTATGAGAGAGGGAGTCTTGACGAGGTATGCCTAATCTTCCTTCGCCGCGTATGACGAACGTCTCCCGACGCGGAGGCTAGTAGGAACGTGGGGGGGCTAGACGTACCAAAGGGAACCTCGGCAAGATAAACCAGTTCCTCCCATGACCCGTGGTTCGACGAACACCTTCTGCCAGAGCAGAAGGCTAGTAGGGCCACGAGCATGGGACGACGAAGCAGGGAATCCCGACGTGGATAAACCGGTTCCTCCTTGCGATCGTTGGATGACCGAACGTCTTCTTCGAAGTAAGAAGATTAGTAGGACCACGACAGGGACGAACGAAGAATAGGGAATCCCGACGTGGATAAACCTGTTCCTCCTTGCGATCGTTGGATGACCGAACGTCTTCTTCGAAGTAAGAAGGTTAGTAGGACCACGACAGGGACGAACGAAGAATAGGGAATCCCGACGTGGATAAACCTGTTTCTTCTCATAGTTGGGATGACGAACGTCTCCTGCGAAACCAGGAGACCAGTACTCACGAGACTTGGGAAGAACGAAGAACCAGTTCTTTACCGAAGTCTGTTGCGTGCCGAGTGTACACCGCTTAGCGGTCCATACATAGGACCACGGATGCGGTAGACGAACGAAGACCAGCTCCATGGATCAGACACGAAGAACCAGTTCTTTACCGGAGTCTGTTGCGTGCCGAGTGTACACCGCTTAGCGGTCCATACATAGGACCACGGATACGGTAGACGAACGAAGACCAGCTCCATGGATCAGACACGAAGAACCAGTTCTTTATCGGAGTCTGTTGCGTACCGAGTGTACACCGCTTAGCGGTCCGTACATAGGACCACGGATACGGTAGACGAACGACGATTAGCTCCCCAGATCAGGTAGGAGGGACATCACCCGGATTTATTTCAGGCTCACCATTCCTTCCCGGATGGAGTCCTGGCAGACGATCGGCTTCTCACAGCCAATCAGGAGAGAGACTTGACACATCACCAGCACGGCCGAGGGCCGCGAGAGGCCGAGGGCCATGAGATGATCATCACTATTTTAATGCATCACGATTGGCCCCTCAGCGCCATCGTGTCCAGATCCACGGTTTGGATCGCCCATTCCCTCCAGGATGGCGACGACCGTCTTATGCATCACGATCGCCCCCTCAGCGCCATCGTGTCCCGATTCACGGTTCGGATCGCCCATTTCCCTCCAGGATGGCGACGACCGTCTTATGCAGTACGATCGGCCCCTCAGCGCCATCGTACCCAGCTCACGTTCAGCTCGTCCATCCCTTCTAGGGTGCGACGAACGTCTTATGCATCACGATCGGCCCCTAAGCGCCATCGTGTCCTGATTCACGGTTCGGATCGCCCATTTCCCTCCAGGATGGCGACGACCGTCTTATGCAGTACGATCGGCCCCTCAGCGCCATCGTACCCAGCTCACGTTCAGCTCGTCCATCCCTTCCAGGGTGGCGACGAACGTCTTATGCATCACGATCGGCCCCTCAGCGCCATCGTGTCCAGATTTACGGTTCGGCTCGTCCATCCCTTCCAGGGCGGCGACGAACGTCTTATGCATCACGATCGGCCCCTCAGCGCCATCGTGTCCTGATTCACGGTTCGGATCGCCCATTTCCCTCCAGGATGGCGACGGCCGTCTTATGCAGTACGATCGGCCCCTCAGCGCCATCGTACCCAGCTCACGTTCAGCTCGTCCATCCCTTCCAGGGTGGCGACGAACGTCTTATGCATCACGATCGGCCCCTCAGCGCCATCGTGTCCAGATTTACGGTTCGGCTCGTCCATCCCTTCCAGGGCGGCGACGAACGTCTTATGCAGTACGATCGGCCCCTCAGCGCCATCGTACCCAGCTCACGTTCAGCTCGTCCATCCCTTCCAGGGTGGCGACGAACGTCTTATGCATCACGATCGGCCCCTCAGCGCCATCGTGTCCAGATTTACGGTTCGGCTCGTCCATCCCTTCCAGGGCGGCGACGAACGTCTTATGCAGTACGATCGGCCCCTCAGCGCCATCGTACCCAGCTCACGTTCAGCTCGTCCATCCCTTCCAGGGTGGCGACGAACGTCTTATGCATCACGATCGGCCCCTCAGCGCCATCGTGTCCAGATTTACGGTTCGGCTCGTCCATCCCTTCCAGGGCGGCGACGAACGTCTTATGCATCACGATCGGCCCCTCAGCGCCATCGTGTCCAGATTCACGGTTCGGCTCGCCCATTCCCTCTAGGATGGCGACAACCGTCTTATGCAGTACGATCGGCCCCTCAGCGCCATCGTCCCTGGCTCATGTTCGGCTCGCCCATCCCTTCCAGGATGGCGGCGAACATCTTTTATGCAGCACGATCGGCCCCCTCAGCGCCATCGTGTCTCTTCCACGTTCGGATCGCGCACCTCTTCCAGGATGGCGACGAACGTCTTATGCAGTACGATCGGCCCCTCAGCGCCATCGTCCCTGGCTCATGTTCGGCTCGCCCATCCCTTCCAGGATGGCGGCGAACATCTTTTATGCAGCACGATCGGCCCCTCAGCGCCATCGTGTCTCTTTCACGTTCGGATCGCGCACCTCTTCCAGGATGGCGACGAACGTCTTATGCAGTACGATCGGCCCCTCAGCGCCATCGTACCTGGCTCATATTCGCCTCGCCCATCCCTTCTAGGATGGCGGCGAACATCTTTTATGCAGCACGATCGGCCCCTCAGCGCCATCGTGTCTCTTTCACGTTCGGATCGCACATCTCTTCTAGGGTGGCGACGAACGTCTTATGCAGTGCGATCGGCCCCTCAGCGCCATCGTACTTGGCTTCACGGTTCGGCTCGCACATACCCTTCAGGATGGCGACGACTGTCTTATGCAGCACGATCGGCCCCTCAGCGCCATCGTGTCTCTTTCACGTTCGGATCACGCATCCCCTCCAGGATGGCGACGAACGTCTCATATGCAGCACGATCAGCGCCCCAGCGCCATCGTGTCTGGCTCGTGTTCGGCTCGCCCATCCCTTCCAGGATGGCGACGAACATCTCTTATACAGCTTGATTGGCCCCTCGGCGGCATCATGTCTAGTTCACCTCCGGCTCCGCCCATGCCATCTCGGATGGGGGACCCGTCATATGCAGCATGATTGGCCCCTCGGCGGCATCATGTCTAGTCCACCTTCGGCTCCGCCCATGCCATCTCGGATGGGGGACCCGTCTTACGCAGCACGTCTGCTTCTCGGCGCTGACAGGCCCGGGTTATCGATGAGAGCGACTGCTTCTATCACATCTTGCATTCCATCTCTCATACATTACATACATACATTACATGCATACATACATTCATGCATCATACCTCATACATTCATACATACACACGTGCATCATGTTTTGACAGTACCGCGACGTCGGTTCATGGATGTATGGACCTCTAAGCTTCTCCGACTGGAAAGCTCGAGTCAGAGTCCTTTGCTCCCGCCTGATGCATTTAGACGGAGTGTACCCGTGGAGGAGCACCCTTCGCCCGACCCTGTTGGGAAGGGGGGTGCCTCACTGGTAGATTACGTTCAGGAGTGCAGACACTCACTCATATATGATGATTATGTGAAGACACAGTTTCCAGTAAGACAGAGGAAGAGCGCAGGCAAGAGTATACTTTCTCGAGCAGATTCGCACGCTCACTACTCAAGAAACTGGGGGACTTGTGTTGGGATATATTATCCCGGCCTATTACTGTTCAGGAGCCCAAGACATTACTCAGTACGGAGCCCGAGCAGTTAGGCCCATTCCGGCCCATCCGGCCCACTTTAGCCATTTGGGCCCACTCTGGCCCGTTTGGCCCATTAGGGTGGAGAGCCCTTTCTCCCCTTCCCCTATTTATAGGAGGTTTTCCCTCCATGTAAAGGATCCCTTTGAGCTTCTTCTTCCCTTTTTCTCTCTAGCTAGCTCTCTAGATTAGATGATACTCCATGAATTGGAGCTTGAATACTTGTACTATGTAATGGTGAGGAGAGACTAATGAGAATGAGAGGGCTTGGACATTAGCCTAAAAAGTCCTGTGGTTTTCTCCCTTTCGGGTTTCCACGTAAAAACTGAGTGTTCATACATATATCTACTATATCGTGTTGGATTAAACTCAACACTTAGTTTACAACTCAAACACATACATACATACACACATACATACATAAATACACATATGTATGTATGTATGTATGTATGTATGTATGTATGTGTGTATGTGTGTATGTGTGTATGTGTGTATGTGTGTATGTGTGTATGTGTGTATGTGTGTATGTGTGTATGTATGTATGTATGTATGTATGTATGTATGTATGTATGTATGTATGTATGCATGCATGCATGCATGCATGTAGGGGCGGATTGGGCTATAGGCGAGTGAGGTCCTAGGCCCCACACAAAAAACCTCTTTTTACTTGTATATACATGTGTATATAAATCAGGACCAACCTACAAATATATAATAAAAAATGTTACGGAGTTATACATAGCAGTCTCCCAGTCAAACACAGTGCATCGGTGCGGAACTTCACGATGTTCAGATGTTCCAAAGGCCAAAAACTGGCCCATATGTGAAATGCCCAAATTGCAGCAAATTGACATTCAAGCATCGAGCCCTTAGGTGCTGTTCTGTTCGTCTTATTCTTATTACTTATTACTTATTCTTATTTTATTCAGATCAGATCAGATCAGATCAGAAAAATTCAGATCAGATCAGATCAGATCAGAAAAATTCAGATCAGATCAGATCAGATCAGAAAGATTCAGATCAGATCAGATCAGATCAGAAAGATTCAGATCAGATCAGAAAGATTCAGATCAGATCAGACCAGATCAGAAACATTCAGATCAGATCAGAAACATTCAGATCAGATCAGATCAGAAAAGTTCAAACATGATTTATCACTTTTATTATTATATTAATTATTATTATTAATATTGTTATTAATATTATGATTATTATTATATAATTATTATTAATAATATTAATAATAATATGATAAAAAAATAAGATATTAATATAGTTATAATATTTTAATATAATAATAGTAATATAAATGCAATTATTAAGAAGACTATTATTATTATTATTACAATATTATAATAATAATATGATTAATATTATTATAATATTATATTGTAATTATATGTAATTATAATTATACTTACAATTATAATTCTTATAATTATAAGTATATCAATTGTAATTATTATAATTATATCTATAATTAATTATAATTATAATTGTAATTAATTATAATTATAATAATTATAATTACAATCATAATTATAATTATGATTATAATTATAATTATAATATAATATTATAATAATATAATACTAATTATATTATTATTATTATTATGTTATTTTAATAATAATATTAATATAATAATATCGTTATAATAATATTAATTGTTTTTATATTACTATTATTATATTATAATATTATAATTAATGTTAATATAATTATAATTATTATTAATTATAAATATACTTATAATTATATTATAGTTATAATTTATGATTATAATTATTATTTTTATTATGATTATTAATATTATTATTATTATTATTATTGTTACTATTGTAATTATTTTACGGAGTAATTATAATAATATTGATAACTATAATTACAATTATAGAGATAAATATTGTAATTATAATTACAATTATAATTATATAAGTAATTATAATTAAAATATAATTACAATTATAATTATATCTATATTTATAATTAGTGTAATATGTATAAATTTTTTCATTTTAAATTTAATTTTAATTATTATTATTATTTTTATAGTTACGATTATAATTATAATTTTATTTAAGTTATATTTGTAATTGCAATTATAATAATAATAATTATAATTATAATCATAGAAATATTCAAATCAGATCAGATCAGAAAGATTCAGATCAGATCAGAAGGATTCAGATCAGATCAGAAACATTCAGATCAGATCAGACCAGATCAGAAACATTCAGATCAGATCAGGAAGATTCAGATCAGATCAGATCAGATCAGAAAGATTCAGATCAGATCAGATCAGATCAGAAAGATTCAGATCAGATCAGATCAGATCAGAAAAATTCAGATCAGATCAGATCAGAACTTAAAAAATTCAGATCAGAAACATTCAGATCAGGCGAAGAGAACAGCTTCTTAGTCCCTGCCTCTAGTCGCTAGGTCTCCGAAAGACTCTGGCTGACTTGCTCTCTGGCTCTCTGCGACTATGCTCTCTACGCCTCAGAACACACATGTTCTGGTCTTCCATTTGAGGTAGGTTTTTAATGATGTAATTTGATTATATTTTTTTATTTCAGTTTTGAAATACTGCTTTTAGGTCCAGGTTCTCTAATGGCTTTGCTCGTCTCAGAAATCAGAAGGGTTGAAGGGTTGTAAGCCTTTAATGGATTTAATAAAAAATACATAGTAAAGTTTTTTCTTTATTCTTCCAAAGTTCCATGCTTTGAACTTTATAAAATTCTAATTTTATATGTTATAATTATGTTAACGTATGATTGTATGAATGCTGATTTGAGTGTGCCACTTGCCGTTTTAAAGATATACTATATTATTAATGTGATTGTGATTTATAAATTGTGATTTGTGATTTACATTAGCATCGATTTCATACTAATATATTACTCCTTTCGTATTTTAAAGTTTGTTACACTTTCCTATTTCGGATGTATTTAAAAGTTTCCTACACTTTCCCTTTTTGGTAAGTTTTTCCTTTAAAAATACTCAATTACCCTTACTTTTCTACTTTTTATCTTCTATTTCCTACTTTTCCACCTTCTCTCCTACTTTTTATACATTATTCATTACCCCTACTACTTTCTCCTAAAAAATTGTGCCAAAAGCTATTGTAGAGAACATATAAATACGGAGGGAGTATTATTAATCTCATTTTTAGTGTTAATTGCATATTCTCAAACATGAGTTTTTTTTTATTATTGTACAAATTCAATCGTGTTTAATAAAGGTAATGAAGAGATATTATGATCATGTTAAAGTATGAGCTAAGAAAGATAGCTCATCGAGAATTGTGTGCTAGGCTCAAGTAAAATTGAAGAAACTTCAAATATAAATGATAACAAAACAACATTCAAAACACAAAATCATTTAACACTGAAGAGTTTGATTCTTCCCAACTTCCATCTGAGCAACTGGATGAGTAGAAAAAGATATCTTCTTGAAAATTGACAATGATGCCATTATCAAACTGTATCGGCCGATAAAATCCCGTAGAGAACAAATGTAAATTTATTGAGTGCTGGTATTTGACTTTGATGAAAACTCTTATTTCTATAGTATTATATTTTATCTTTGACTGTTTTGCAGCAACACATGTTATTTTATAGAACAAATTCCACATTTTGTCTTACAAGTATCACATCAATTCCACAATTGGTCCACGTCTATGATTCTGATCACTTTTGATACCTGACTATTATGTTTTTGCTCATATATGGTCCTTCCGTTAATGTTTCCGGCGGTTAAAATCACCGGAAAAAGATCATAAATGGTCAAGAAACATTAGTCAAGTACAAAAAGTGGACAAAATGAAAGACATGGACTAAATGTGGAATTGACATATAACTCATAGGACCAAAACTGGAATTAATTCTATTTTATATTTATTACATTTTGGCCCCACCTAGATGCAAATGCTAGATCCGCCCCTGTATGTGTGTGTGTGTGTCTATGTGTGCATGCATGCATGCATGTATGTATGTATGTATGTATGTATGTATGTATGCATGCATGTATGTATGCATGCATGCATGCATGCATGCATGTATGTATGCATGCATGTATGTATGCATGCATGCATGTGTTACTCTATCAATAATGATGCTTCATTTTTAAAAAGAAAAACAAAAAAAACTAATGATTCAATTTAAAAATAGCAATTGTGACCTGAAGACAAAAGTTGTTCACACGGTCGATATACTCAATCAATTTTGTTGCGTAAAAACAGAGAGTTGTTTACTTTTTATATTGATTAAGTTCTTCATATATTATGATGTTTTGCATATATTGCGTGATCTTTTACAAAAGTATTTACTTTATACATTGAACATATGATGTGTATTGGATGAAACAAATTAAAGGAGATAATGTTACTTTTGGGTCGTCGGATGGAGTATTATCACTCGTTATGGTGTACAGGAAAGGAGAATAATCATGTGTAGATATGATAAGATAACTTTCTATTTGACTAAATAAGAGGTGTTTTTATAGATGCTTAAAGCACGAGTATAATAAAGCGTAAATGCATGTTATATTGATGTATTCTATGTGCATACATACACACACACACACACACACACACACACACACATACATGCATGCATTCATTCATTCATTCATTCATTCATTCATTCATTCATTCATTCATTCATTCATTCATATATACATGCACATATATACGTCCATACATACATGCACGTAGCCACGTAGGTACACACGTACATGCACATACGTACATACTATACATACATGCACATAGGCACGTACACACACACATTGATACATACATACACGTAGGTACGTACATACGTCCATGCACATACATACACACATACATACTTGCGCACACACACACACACACACACACACACACACATGCATGCATGCATATATACATGACCTCTTCATGTGTGCATAAATATGTTACTCCCTCCGTCCCAAAAAATTGTTCCCGCATTGACTTGGAACGGAGTTTAAGAAAGTGGGAATAAAGTGGAAATGTATGGTTGTGGTTGAGTAAGAAAAATGTAAATGAATTGTAGCCACAAAAAACTTTCCAAAGGGGGAAAGTGGAACAATTTTTTGGGACGGCCCAAAAAGGAAACCGGTAACAATTTTTTGGGACGGAGGGAGTATATGTATGCATGACCTCTTCATGGAAAGCCGTGTATCAATTAAAATTATGAGTAAATATGACTTAATTGAGTAATTAAATAAATACTCCAACGAAATCTAATAGTAAGGGAAAAAGTATCAATTAAATACTGCAAATAGTGCAATTAACCCCTCAAACTAAAATAAAAACTTCATGAAGAGGCCATTACATAAAGGATATAAGTTGAACTTGAAGCTATTGAAAAGGGTCATTACATGGGAGGTTTGTGCAAATTATTACAAACTCAAACTTTAAAGTGAATGAATAAAAGTTATGGATTGTCACTTGAGCAAACTATTAAACACGTTTGACCAACTGAAAAAAGACAATGTGTGTCCCTTCTCTATTTCTACAAGGGTCAAATAAAATTTATATGGAATATATCAAATTCACTCTTAAGTCATCATAAATGATACTTCCACCTATATTGTCATTTGTGTGGTAAAAAAAATGTCGTCCTAACTTTTTAATTTTTAATATCAAGTTTTATTAAATCTAATTTTTAGTTGCAAATGAATTGAACCTTTTGATTAATTTCAAAATAGCTAAATTATAAATACTCGTAATAATAACTTTGATAACATGAGTGGAGAATTAATTAACTTTATCACCAACCAATCATATAATCATAATTGATTAAGGGAGTGTTTGCAACTGCTTCTGCTTAAAAAAAGCACTTTTGGAGATGTAAGGAAAAAGTGATTAGTAGGAAAAGTTGATAATGTTTGAGAAAAAAGTGATTTTGAAAAGTAAAAGTTGATAGTGTTTGGTAAAATAAGTGCTTTTTGTGTAATAGAAAGGGGAAAAGCACTTTTCACACGCAAGCCGAGAAAAAGTAAAAATTGATAGTGTTTGGTAAATAAGTGCTTTTTAAAGCCAAAAGCTGAGAAGTGCTTTTTTTAAGTGATTGCAAACACTCTCTAAGTTAAATGGGATGGGGAATATGAGTACAATAATTGAAACTTTTAAAGTCTATTTTACTAGTTTAGACATCTTTGAAATAAAAACGTAATACATATAATACGATAGTATTGTTTTAGATAGTGATATTCTCTCTACTTACAAATAAGTTCTCACTTATGATCATCAAAACATGTCTCTATTCATATCAAAAGATTCAAGATCATTACATCAAGTAAAGGGAAAATAAAACTGACACCAACTGAAACTCCAACAACTACGACTGTAACCCTATGGTGAGACTTTGAGACGGTCACCCCTGAGAGAGCAACACGAATCGCTAACCATGTAGTGGGCTTGACACAGCCAAACCTGTTCCCATAGATCCAACCATACCCAATGACATAAAGAGAGGCAAAAAACTCAAACAAACTGTCAAAATCAACAACAAAAAAGGAAACAAGAAAACAAATAACAAACAGATAAAACTACAAGAAAAACTTTCACGAACTCTAGCACCTCGTACATCCCACGGTGGTGGTTCAGGAGGAGGTCGTACCACCGGTACCATGCTAATTGATCCTCCATGACCTTTGGCTGCCAAAGATCATGCATCAATCCTCCATCCCTGCACAACCAAACTTATCCCTACTCCGTGCTACCAGAGTAAACGGATAGGCGACGCCGATCTTCTCCGACAACGACAGCAACGCCGCATCCTCGAACCTTGACCACAACGCCGATCTCCTCGAGCCATGACAACAAATCCGCCCTCCTCCACCGATCTCCGCCCTCCGCGTCTGATCTGGACTCCAGCTGAGCACCAGCGATCAAGGGATAGCAAAGTTGATCTTCGACAAAGTCGAAATCGGAAAAAGGCTCCAGCACTTCCATTATTTAAATGTCCCAAAAATGCCCAAATAAACTATACATTCTTTTATAAAATGAAAAATTTCAGGAAGTAAGTTTCACTGTAATTGTTTTCTATTAGTTTTATTTGACTAAAGCAAAAGAATGTTTGAAAACTCAATTTTATTAATTTATTTAAATAAATTTGTAAATCGAATTTTCAAGTCATATAAAAATTATTGAAATCAACATAATTGAAAATTTTATTTAAAAAATTCAACATTAGTTTTTGATGCCACACATGTAAAGTTTGTTTGACATTATTGAAGTTAACTGAATTGACAGAATATGTTGAAATGAGTGAAATTATAGTTGAGATTTTTGAATTAGCCGAATTTAATAAATTATACCCCCTCCGTCCGAGGGAGAAGTTCTCACTTTCCTTTTTTGGTAGTCCCAACAAAAAGTTCCCATTTCCCTAAATGGAAAGTTATCCTACATCAAAACAGTGTCAAACAGTGCAAAACAGTGCCAAACAGTGTCGAAACAGTGCCAAACAGTGTCGAAACAGTGCCAAACAGTAAAATTTACCCCTCAGTAACTTTATTTCCTAAATATGTGTGAAAGCCAACCCGAGAACTTCTCCCTGGGACGGAGGGAGTATTAAGTATGAAATAAATAAAAAATCATATGAAAATAATAAAAATAATTATTTTAATTTCAATAAAAAAAGGTCATTGAAGGCTCCTAATTTCCTATTGCAAATAGCCAAATAGATAAGCATCTACTCAACAAGATCTGGTTGTGGTAAAAATCTGAGAATTCAATGCACAGAAGAGGTAGAGGGGATGCCGATGTTACAGTGCAACGTCTCCCATTAATGACACCGAATTAACCTTTTCCTTGCTTCTACCGTGCGCCTTTTTCTAATTCCTTCTACCATTCCCCCATTGTTGATATGACGGAGTATCTTTGTATTCTAAAGCCCAAAGACATCTGTGGAGGGAATGCTAAGCAACCCAATCTTCTATAATTACAGCGACAGTGAGCGCAGCCTCTATATCTGAGGAAGAACGGAGCTACTGGGTCAGTTGAAGGGTGAAATATCCTATCTGATGATTTCATATGTACATACGAAGCTTTGAGTTTATGGTTCTGAGATTCTCTGTTGCTTTGTTTTGTTTGAAGGGTAAAATTGTGTTGGATCATCCGAGATGGGGCTGATTTCCGGGATTCTGATGGGGATTCTGTTTGGAATAGGATTGATGGCAGGTTGGAGACATATGATGAGATATCGGAGCAGCAAGCGAATGGCCAAAGTTAGTTGATTTCTGATGTCCGTTATCGCGTTTTTTATGCTTACTCATTTCTTCATAATCCATGGCATAGTCTTACTCATTTCTGTAATCTGTATATTACTTGTTACTGAAACTGATGTCTAGAGTAAGGATGTACTCTTGCGTGGAGTTACTTATTTTGATTTTGAATAGCCAATAGGGTTGAATGCCCGAGTTTTAGTTTAGGAAGGATTTTGAGTGTAATACTATGGTTTTGTAGATAGCAAGTAACTATATTTTGACGTGTGTTTGTGCAGTTGCCAATTGCCATACTGTGCAGATGATTTGCATATGGTGAATTTCTTATGGCCTAATGGTGTGATTACTGTGAATGTATCATTGATTTACAACTTTTGCACATTGTTGCCTAATTGGCGAAGCAGTTTTTTTTACATGATTGGTGCTCTTATGATTCTTTAATGCAATGCTTTAGTTTTTGCTTGTCTTCAATCATGATAACAGGTCATATTATGGTAGTAATAATGCATAGTTATATAAGAAAAAAATAGAATTCATCCATCCCCACCCTAATTTCTTGCCCCTGACAGTTCTCCATCACTCAATTAGTTAACGTGCAAAAGGAAAGGGTAGCCAATGCCTCTGCTGAGTGCTAACATAAGTAATTAAGTACTTCGATTGATGCTTTCATCAGACCAATATGCGTATCTTTTGTCATTTTGATATTTTAAAATGAACTTATAACTAAATATCTGCTACCTGTAATTAATATTTTATCTTTAATTTTAATTTATTTCCTGACAGGCAGTTGATGTAAAACTAATGGGATGCCTTGACAGGGATGACTTGAAGAAAATCTGCGGTGATAATTTTCCTGAGTGGATTTCATTCCCTGTCTATGAGCAGGTTGGCCTGTTACTATTCATTCATTTAGTATGTACTGCTTCTAATCAACTCTCTTTTCTACTTGAGCATCTGATCCGAGTTGGTGTGGGGAAGCTTGAGATGAGTAGATTTTTTGCAGTAAAATAGGGGTTTTCATTATGTTAGCTTTGTAATATGCCCCAAGTATTCATCATCAAATGCTTTGGAAATTAGATATTCGTTCCTTTACTATCATTAGAGACAGTATATTGTCTATCTCACTCAATCTCATTTTGGCAGGTGAAATGGTTGAACAAACAATTGAGCAAACTCTGGCCATTTGTTGCTGAAGTAAGATATGTGCATGTTTCAAGTTTTGAAGTTACGAGATAGATATTGACCTCCAAATAACACACTTTATCCCTGAATCTTGTTCTACTCGTGAATGTATAGAACTTTTTTCCCCATTAATTATGTGATGTAAACCACTGCATTGGCATTATGGTGATGGTTTTGAAGTGTGGAAATTGTATTATGCTTCATTCATGCTATTTTACACTACTGATCTTTAGATGGCCATGCCAAAAATCTATGCACATTGACAATACTCATCATACTTCCTTGATAGTTACACATCTGTTCCCTTTACAATATTTCCTTTTCCTGCTAATGTGCATAAATTTGATGGAGTTGAATGGTTTACTTTTTCCTTGTTGATGATAAAAAAATCATGCTTTGACTGATTGACTTATTTTTCTTGGACTATGCTTTCTTTTGATCCACTAGTTCAGGCAATGTTTCTTTTTATGACATTTCTGCAGGCAGCAGAGGCTATTATAAAAATGTCAGTTGAACCTCTACTAGAAGAGTACCGACCTCCAGGAATTTCTTCTTTGAAGTTCAAAAAGCTCTCACTGGGAACTGTGGCACCAAAGATTGAAGGTAACTTGCAACGAAACAATTCAAAATTCGTTTACCTAAACCATAATTTTAATTGTCTTTCTTTTTGCTGAAATAATGATTATGTTATTCTAGTTATATTGGTGGATGATCTTTAATTTATGAGAAGCTTAAATCTTGTACATTTGGTTTTAGTTTTCTACTGACTTGTGTGACTTCCAATGCAAGTTATACAATAAAAAATGTCTCTCATGGCCTCATGTATGGTAGTGATGCCAGATATTTATATTTTTTTTTGTTTTTAAAATTATCCTTCCTTGTGACCACATTGTTTTTTTACAGAACTTTTTTTAAAAAGTGCTCAACTACCCTAATCATATTTGAATATGGACAGCCATATCAATCAATATTACGGAGTTTTAACTAAAGAGGGTCCTTTAGGTGCAGCAAAGAAATTTATATGTAATCTTGACCAAAGGTGTGACCTCTATTTGTAAAGTAAGATTCTAACTAGGAAAAATGTAGAGGTTATAGCTTGATTATTTATGAGCCCAATTGGTTTTGCTTTTATATATGTCTTATGGTTATTGCAGGTATCCGTGTCCAGAGCCTTAAGAAGGGTCAAATCATAATGGATATTGACTTTCGGTGGGGTGGAGATCCCAGCATCATTCTAGCAGTGGAAGCTCTGGTTGCTTCTATTCCCATTCAGGTTGAATGCCCGATCGTTCTTCCTGTCTATTTGATATGAAGCCGGAAGAGCATGTGGCGGGACCGGACTTGGGCCCACTTCCGTGGGCCGGTTACGGGCTGTTTAATTAATATTTATTATTCATTTTATTTTGTTTCCTAATTTAATTTGTTTCCTAGTAGGATTTATTTAGGACTTCTATTCTTACTAGAATTAGAGGTTTCCTATTTCTATTTAGTTTCCTAGAATGATTTAATTAGGAGTTCTATTAGAACTAGAGGTTTCCTATTCTATTTAGTTTCCTAGAATAATTTAATTAGGATTCCTATTCTTATTAGACCTAGAGGGTTATTTATACCCCTTGTATGCTTCATTCTTGATCATCTGGGAATAAAAGTTTGGTTTAGCCTTTTGGCTTTGGGCAACGATATTTATTTATCGTTGATTATCTGGGCAACGGTTCACCCCGTTGATTTTACTTTTCTGTTCTTATCAATTGGTCCGACCTGCCGGATCCCCGTCCCGTCAAGATGACAAGAACTCAGAACGAACGACTGACAGAATTGGAGGCTGAACAGGCCCTGGTAAATCAAAAGCTCGATTCACAAGGAGAGAAACTGGATGTACTGGCTCGGAAACAAGAGGAGCAGGCCGCCCGGCTTGCGGAAATCGCAGAATCCCTGGCAGCAATCGCAAAGGCCATGGTACCGCCAGCGAAGTCTCCAAGCACGACCATCGAGAGCGGCTCCTCCGCCCACATCGCGACTGCTTTCACCGACGAGGGCGGACCGCGCAGCGCATCCACGACACTGCTTCCCTCATTCGACGGTGAAGACCCAATTGGGTGGCTGGCAAGAGTGGAGCAACAGTTCGAGCTCAACAGGACCCCACCGGATAGACAAATTGCAGCGGCTAGGGTTTCTATGGAAAGGGCAGCCCTCTATTGGGTGACATGGTTAAAGGCGCGCAAACCCGGCATATCCTGGGAGGAATTTAAGCAAGCCTTGGTGGCTAGATATGATTCCCGATATCAAGGAAACAGATTTGAGCGGCTAGCTGGCGTTAAACAAATTGGGCAAGTGGAAGATTACAATACTTTGTTTGTACAACTCGCCAGTCAAGTACCCGGATTAACTGACGATCATTACTTGGGCTATTACATGAGTGGGCTTAAGGAGATAATCCGAAGCTCGCTGCGATTACTTCGACCAAACAACCTGGAGATGGCTATGGAATTAGCTCGCGAAGTGGAGTATAATCTGTCCGTCCAAAGTGGAGAAAGTGGCAGCCTGAATTTTCATTCTTCGGGGGTACGTTCCAGCAGTTTTGTAAGGGCAAACACGGGTCCCCCGTTGACTGCCACCGGTGGCAGCTTACAGGGCTCAGGGGGCAGCTTTGCGAAGGATAGTGGACAGCCTCCGGGGACAAAGTCAGGGCTGTCTGGGCAGCCTACGACACAATCCCAGTTCACCCGTCTTGCGCCAAAAGAGTTAGCAGATTTGAGGGCAAAAGGATTATGCTTTAGATCCAAGAAACCATTCACGCCAGGGCATGATTGTCCCTTTAAGCAGCTGCGGGTAATGATAGCCGAGGAGGATGAAGAGTTGGACCTCAAGCAGCATGAATTCTGCGAAATAACCGGCCAGGAAAGGGTTCATGAAGGAGAAGAAGGATATTTTCCAGTCTATACTATGTCTGGAAATTTCAGCTCCCAATCAGCGAGTTTTCGACCTTGAGGACAAGGTTATTTTAAGGGGGGTGGATTGATATGAAGCCGGAAGAGCATGTGGCGGGACCGGACTTGGGCCCACTTCCGTGGGCCGGTTACGGGCTGTTTAATTAATATTTATTATTCATTTTATTTTGTTTCCTAATTTAATTTGTTTCCTAGTAGGATTTATTTAGGACTTCTATTCTTACTAGAATTAGAGGTTTCCTATTTCTATTTAGTTTCCTAGAATGATTTAATTAGGAGTTCTATTAGAACTAGAGGTTTCCTATTCTATTTAGTTTCCTAGAATAATTTAATTAGGATTCCTATTCTTATTAGACCTAGAGGGTTATTTATACCCCTTGTATGCTTCATTCTTGATCATCTGGGAATAAAAGTTTGGTTTAGCCTTTTGGCTTTGGGCAACGATATTTATTTATCGTTGATTATCTGGGCAACGGTTCACCCCGTTGATTTTACTTTTCTGTTCTTATCACTATTTCTGATTTGTTTCATACAATGTTCTTTGATGTCATTATTTTATTGTTATTAATGCAACTCTCAAACCATTTTTGCAATGTCTGCAGTTGAAAGATCTTCAAGTTTTCACTGTCATTCGTGTTATCTTCCAACTGTCGGAGGAAATTCCATGCATATCCGCTGTTGTTGTTGCTTTACTTTCTGAGGTATAATTTTAGTGCAGATGTGCATCATGATGCACTGGTGCTTATAATAGAGGCGGAGAAGAAGTGGAAATAAAAAAATTTAGCAAGGTAAAGGGAGTCAATCAATTACAAATTTTGGGACTTGATTCTGGAAATGAGAGATTTGAATGTCACTCACATAAGTCTTCAATCAAATTGATTGAAGAGCTATATGAGTAAGATGTAAGCCTCTCATTTCCAGAAATCAAGTCCCAAAGTCTGTTATTGATTGAGACTCCCTTTATTTTGCTTGATTTCCTTTGCCTCTCTATCAGCTTGCATTACCAATGTTGATACATAGTTCACCTCCTATTATGGGATGTGGTCACCCTTTTTCATCATTCTTTTTGTATTGCTCCTTTATCCCCTCCTCTTCTTGTTTGGTTACACTAGATGCCAAAATTGGATTTCTGTGACTTAGTTGTAAATGCAATTTGCAGGTGTTAGTTCAAGAATATAGATACCCCACCATCCCATTATATTATTTCCTTTTCCAAAAAAAGAATACCGTGACCAAGGATGTGTTAGCTAGGTTAAATAGTCACTCCTCTAAACAACATTACAAAATAAAAAGTAAGAACTTATCAAATTCATTTGCAAAAAAAAAAAAGAACTTATCAAATTCATTTTCACCTGGCTCGGTGTTTCTCGGGTGTATGATATTCTTACAACCATTAGTAACCTATTTACCTATGCAATCATCCTTTATTCTTGTCTCATAGTACACTATTGAATTGGTTATTAGATGCACGTGGTGAATCTGAAAAGTACAGTTTAGCGTTTTTTGTTATAACATGTAATGACTAATTTATTCTTTAAAAGAGAAGCCTGATTGTTACCCTTTCAATTCTATCAGCCAAAACCAAAAATCGATTATGTGTTGAAGGCTGTTGGTGGAAGTTTGACGGCCATTCCTGGACTCTCAGATATGATTGATGTAAGTATAAGCATTTTCTCTTGTTCAAATTTGTTATTGCACATCTTAGCTGTTTTTCTCCTGCCCTACTGATAGTGCTACACGTCTTCATAGGATACTGTAAATACAATTGTTACCGATATGCTACAATGGCCACACAGAATTGTTGTTCCAATCGGCGGCATGGATGTTGATACAAGGTTTAATTTGATTTCCAGATGTCTTCTATCATAGCCTACCTTCTTAATATTCACTTTTCATAGTGTATACTCTGTAGTCTGTAAGATGGAGTATCGATAACTATATGACTTACCAAATAACTAATAACAGATGATTTCTTTTTGATGACATTTTTGTGTATAACACAGTGATTTGGAGCTGAAGCCACAAGGGAAACTTACAGTTACCATAGTCAGGGCTACTAACTTAAAGAACCAGGAAATGATCGGAAAATCTGATCCATACGCAGTTGTACATATCCGTCCACTGTTCAAGGTTAAAACAAAAACTATCGATAACAACCTCAATCCTCTTTGGAATGAGACATTTGAGTTGATTGCAGAAGATAAGGAGACACAGTTTGTTACCATTGAGGTTAGTCCTTTGCCTTTCCTTTTGTTTAGCTTGGAGCCTTGTTTTACAGTGTAATTTGCAATTATACATTATACAGAGTATTTTTAATTTAAAACACACTGTCTTGCATTCTATTGTCAAGTGCCTCCCAATTCGGCAATATCTGGAAAAGTTCAACTGACTCTTTACTTTAATCAGTTATTGTATCTCGAGAACATGAACTAAGTCTTAAATTCTAATGTATCCATTAGAAAAGATCTCCCGAGACTAAATAAATAGTCAAGTTTCTAACTTTTTACATGCTTGGCAAAGATTTGATCATGGATTAAGCCACATATTATAGAGCTAAGTCAAGCCCATACTTTATAGGAGCAAGAAATTTGAAGTAGATTATATAGTTATTTATATTGTGCATTATCATGGCCTGTAATCACTATATTTTCCAAACAGAACCAATGGATTATAGCTTAAGTTTCTATGATAACCCTCACCCTTGCCGGAAAAAATATTATTAAGTGGTTAAGTTACTATTGTTAGTTTTATTTATATTTATTTCTTACAGGATTATTTGAAAGAAGTTGTACACGAATTTGTTTATATAGAAGTTGTGTGCCAGAATAATCCCTCAAGTCCTTGCATAATTTGTTAGTTGGTTATTAAATGTGTACCACAGGGTTGTGTTTATCACTTTATTCCTCTTTTTAAGATTGTATATTTTTATGACTGCATTTACTATTGAGTTCCTCTTAACAGGTCTTTGATAAAGACAATGTTGGGCAAGATGAGCGAATGGGTGTTGCTAAGTTACCTTTGAAAGATTTAGAAGCTGAAACCCCAAAAGAAATTGAGTTAAAATTGCTGCCAAAACTTGATATGCTTAAAGTCAAAGACAAAAAGGATAGAGGGACCATTACAATTAAGGTGTGTCTATATGCCTGCTGTTGATTATACAATTGAGTGGTATCTGGTTATTTTGGAATATGAATAATGATTAAAGCTTGTCTTGTAAGGGCTAATTTGGGCTCAAATGGCTAGCTTGTTGGTGAAGTATTTGATTTTTAAACATAAAAATAAAATATACATTTTTGATAAAATAAAGAAAATATACTCCTTCCATTTTGTCAATGTAGGGTTTCCGCGGATTCTAAGTGCAAAATATTGGGGGTAATGAATAAACAGTATAAGAAAAAAGCAGTAAAGAGTAAACGAAAATGTAGAAAAAGCAGGGAAGGGGTAGAAAAAGTGAGATGGTAGTGGCCAAAAATAGTAATGGAGCAAATATTATTAAATTAATAAACTTTCGTAAAAGGAGCAAGGAGCAACTAAAAAACGGAGGGAGTATAGGTAAAAAGGCTGAAATGATCAAACTTCAGCAAAAAAACCTCCACCCTGTTTATTTTTATTAGTAAACAAGTCAACTCGCACAATCCAATAAATATGCGGTAAAAAACCTCACTGATAAGCAGAAAAGGCCTACCAGACAACCACTTATTTCTATTCCTTGGCAAATTCTTGGTAAATTGAAGCTAACAAATATTTCGAGTTCTTGAACTACTTCAGGTGTTGTATTATGAGTTCAACAAGGAAGAACAGGAAGTTGCACTGGAGGAAGAGAAGAGGATCTTAGAAGAAAGGAAGAAGCTGAAAGCAGATGGGGTGATTGGGAGCACAATGGACGCCCTAGACGGGGCGGCATCACTTGTGGGCAGCGGTATAGGTGCTGGTGTTGGGGTGGTCGGTAGTGGTTTTGGAGCTGTCGGCAGTGGACTAAGTAAAGCTGGAAGGTTTATGGGTAGGACCTTCACTGGGGGTAATTCTGGAAGCAGCACGAAGAGTCAGAGGAACAGTACCTCATCCACCACCACAGTGAACCCACCTGTTCAAGAAAATGGTGGCTCTAAGCCTCTGTAGAAAACTGAATAGCTCTTCTGTCACACTACTAGGCATTTTTTATTAAACGCTCGGATTCACTTCATCATGTTTATACATTCTGTTCTGACTTCTCAAGTGTGTTGGTTTGCTCTCCACCCAACATTGTACAGCATTTGCTCACCTCCCTTCATTTTTTTAAATTGTTCTTGCCGTAAATTCTAATTTTGTGTTTTTGTCTATTTCATCTCATTGAGGTGTTGTTTATCAGGTGTATTTGATCATAAACTCTGCAGTCCGCAATAAATTTGTACAACTTGCGAGCTATTAAGCATGTTGCTGTTCTGGACCTCTGGTCAGTGGCGGACCATGTTGGACATTTTCACGCAGACCACTTTTTCTTGGACATTTTCACGTTCCATCTCATCGCCTTTAAACTCTCATTTGAAAATCAAATGTTATTAAGTAATGCTAGAATAAAACAAAAGTGAGGAATTAGGGCAGGCTATATAATGACAACATGAATACACAGGCTGATCGGGCTGTTTAATTACGTTTTATTTATTTATAAATTTCTGATTTTTTCCTATTTGGAGTTAAGTAGGATTTCTATAATTTGTTTCCTATTTGGAGTTACTTAGTATTTCTATTATTTGTTTTCTATTTAGAGTTAATTAGGATTTCTATTCTTTGTTTTTTATTTGAAGTTATTTAGGATTTCTATTATTCTGCTTCCTAATTGGAATTGGTTAGGATTCCTATGATTTTGTTTCCTAGTTTGGGAATTACGAATTAGTAGATGTGTATTTAAATTTTAAACCCCTTGTTAGGGTTCATTCTTGGACTCTTGTTTATTTGTTAGACTTAATAAAATTATATTTTACCCCATTGGCTCCGGACAATGGGTTCTATTGTTGATTATTACTTTTCTGTTCTTATCAATTGGACCGACCTGTCGTATCATGCTCCTGCTGGAATGACTAGATCAACTGCTAATCATTTGATAGAGATGGGGCTGAAATGAATCAAAAACTGGGTGCAAGGGTGCCAATTGGCGGAGGTCGCAGCCTCCTTGGCAGCATTCTAGAAGGCATTCATGCTGCCGGAGACTGAAGGGCTGGCGTCGACGGCCGCTTCACCAGATTAGACGACGACATCCTTGTACGAGTTAGGGCATCGTTGTCATGTTATAAATGCATACTTTGACTTAATATGTGTTTTTAGAATATAAATTGTATATTTTTTTTAAAGTTTAATGGATTGATGTATTTTTAGGTTGTTCGCAATATACCAAAGTAATCAATTTTATGATTAATGTGTGATATAAGTTGATAATTGTCTATATCAAAGTCAAATGACTCCAATTTTATGTTAGACATTTTGCATTATTGATATTAATAGAAGACATTAGGTATGTAGTTTATACTATATAGTGGGTAGTTGATGCAGACACATACTAGGTAGTTGATTTTATATATGTATAAACAAATATATTTGAATATTCTTCGAATCGAATACATAATTATTTGTATTCGTATTTGAAAGATGTTTGAACAAAAAATCTGATTTATACGTGTATCTATATTCTATGTTTTCAAATTTAAATCATAATTTTTGAATTCAAATCAAGAATTGAATTGAAATTATTTGCTTCGCTTATACCTTTTACTCAATATGATACTCTTGATTTCTTACAAATGAGCTTAGAATGTGTATATGTAAATGTATATATGAGCTACATTTTGAGGGTATTACCTAAGAGTGGACGTAGTCCCGGCCAGTCCGGGTAATTAAAAAAATCCAAGAACCGTTAATTCCATTTAACGGATAGGTTCAGTCTGAGTATACTAAATCTTGAAATAGGAGGCGGATTTTACCCGCCCCATTTGAAGCGGGCCGGTTCGAACCGTTTGAAGAACCTGCCCCGCCCCGAACCGTTTGAATTTACTAACATTAGGACCCGACCCCAACCCGCTCCGAACCTGTATTACCCGGCCCAACCTGCGGTTTTTGTGCTCGTTTGCCCACCCCTAGTACTATAATCAACTTCTAAAAGTTATTTAGTGTTATACTATTAATCTGTTATTATGAAAATTATCATCATTGTTAATCGAATATATTTGATTTAACATTCGAATCAAATATATTGATATTGTTATTTGTATTTGATAACAATTCAAATTAAATTGAGTATTCTTATTGGTATTTGAATTTTTTGAATTCAAGTAGTCTTATACGAATTCGAATCCTGAATCAAACACAAATGATTTGATTCTTTTACCCTATTGAAAGACTCATCAAGTTGATATGGGGTGGCGCTTCTAAAATATTACTTCCTTTCTCTCACAATACCTATCAACTTTCCTTTTAAGCCGTCACAAAAAAAATTACCATTTTCATTTCAAGTAATATATATGTGGTTATAGAAATTTCTCTATTCTCTATTACGCGTAAGTCAAACTTGATCAAGTTTTGTGGGACATTGGAAATATGTATGGCACAATAAGTTGATGCAATAAAAAGTTTATAGAGTAATTATGTATAAAACATAAACACATTATTATATTTCAAATAAATTGAAAACATAAACATTTCACAAAATCTTCACATAGAAAAATGACACAATTTTACAACAAACAAAAATGTTTGGACATTGTTTTTTCAGTGTCCGTGTGCATAGACAAAAAATGTTGTAGAGAAGTATTGCATGGAAATCAATGTCTGTGTACATTTTTTTTTAAACGTACAAGTACATGCACTTTTTGTCGATACACATGCAACTAATGTTTATTCAGAGACAAAACTCACATTATTTTTTTGCAATCTAACCCCGATGTTATTACAAAATAGCACACAAATCAATGTAATTTACACACTAATAAATGTCAGCATACATACATTAATCTTGTATACATTAATATTTTTTGTCATTGCGAAAATATCAAGTTTTATCAAAATTTCAATAATTCTGGTAGTATCTGTGGTGATGATAAAATAAACAAGATGAAACACAAGTTGATATGATGAAGTTGGAATGTGATGAAGTTACAAGATGATTTTTTTTTTTTTTTTTTGATAAATGAAGTTAGGGAGTGTTTGCAACAGCTTCTGCTTTAAAAAAAGCACTTTTGGAGTGATTTGGAAAAAGTGATTATTTGTAAAAGTTGATAGTGTTTGAGAAAAAAGTGATTTTGAAAAGTAAAAGTTGGTAGTGTTTGGTAAAATAAGTGTTTTTGGTGTATAAAAAGTGGAAAAGCACTTTTGACACGAAAGCCGAGAAAAATAAAAAATTGGTAGTGTTTGGTAAATAAGTGCTTTTTTAAGCCAAAAGCTGAGAAGTGCTTTTTTTAAAGTGGTTGCAAACCAGCCTTTACAAGATGATGAAAACTAAAAGTTAAATAAAATGGAAATGGTGATATTTAAATTTTGGTGTACACCTCTCATTTCTGTCCCGTTTTGGTGCAATCAAAACGTCGTTTCGTGGCGAGGTATACCAGATGCATACTGCCAGAGTCCCAGTGGTAGTGTACCAGTAGAGTAGTAGTAGCAGAATTGTGGAGTAGTTCAAACGTTTGATTGCTACCTATCATCTCTATGAAATCTATCTATCATCTTAATCTATATTTACACACGCAAATCCTGGGCTGTCTCTGAAGATGTCGAACACCCTGGCGACTGGTGGGGGTGACGCGCCGCCGCCTCAGCCGGCGACATCCGCGGCTCCCAACTGCGGTGAGTTCCTTCTCCAGTTGCTCCAGAAACCCCCCAGTCGTCCTTCAGGCGCTCCTCCATCAGCGCATGCGCCTACGCTTCATAGTCTGACTCATGATCCGGCAGTTGCCAGAGTGGGACCCTCTGTCCCGCTACCGCCATCCTACCAGAATCCTTCCAACGGTCTCGATCTCCCTTTCTCTTCTTCTTGGCAGCACTCTTCACCTCCATCTGGTACGCCCTTCTTTGCCCCTCACGATTTCTTCGCCCGAGGGTTTCCCCAAAACCCTAATCCCAATTTCTCCACAAGCCCGGGTGGCTTCAATCTTGCCCCGCAGCACAGTCCCCAACTAGGTTACCGCTCGGCCGTAGAAGATGCCCACAAAGTCCACTTCTCTGGGTCGAGCTCCAGGCCTCGTTCTTCTAGTGTGATGGATCAAAATCTCGTTTTTGGGTCTTTGCGCATGGGGATGCTGGATAATGAGGGCCCAAATCTGAAAGAAACGGTAACTAGAGACTCTGAAATTAGGAGCTTTATTCACAACGGGAGAGAAACTACTAGTAGACATGCTGGTAGGTCGACTGGTTTAGAGACTCAGTTTAACAAATATGCTCTACCCGGATACCAACAAGAAAGTTCGGGTGGTTATGCTAGGGAAGGGGACTGGAGAGAGAATAATAGAGTTCAAGTACCTCCTATGGGAAATCCTAACATTTTTAGGAATGGAGGAAAAGCTGGACATGGTAATGAGATGAGATATTTTGAGCATGGTATGGATAAGGGGAAGGGCCAGCGTAATGTGATGAATCAAAGGCTTATTAGTCACCTTGATCAGGCTGGTCCATCACCAGGAATCAAAATGCCCTCTGTTTCATCTTCTGGTTTTGAGAGGTTACACAGTGGTGATGGTCCAAGCAGGGGAGAATCCAGAAATAGGGTTAAGGGTGAGATAAGGACAGTTCAGGATGAAAGCCAGAGTTTAGCAGATCTGCAAGAACAACTTATAAGTTCTCTTGGAATTGAAGATGGATCAGATGAGAGAGCAGATAAGAATAAGCGATATGGATCCCGTGAAAAGGTAATGGTTTGAAAAAAATGAAGGCCTTTGTTTCCCCGTTTTCTCTCTACATTTTTTTGTTACATGCTGTTATTTTTTGTAGTAATTTTACCATAAACTGGGATTTTAAAAGATTCTGTTCGCGTAATGATTTATAATAATATTATAATATATACCATATTTGTAGCCAAAAGGCAAAAACCTTCAAAAACAATGTTAAAAGTTTCAGAGTATTTGTTTGTTGAATTGTATGTTGTGCTACTTGTTTATTCTCTGTGAACTTGTTTAAACTACACACAATATGCTCCCTTTTTTATTCAATGCTAATATATGCTGTTTTACCTTATCAATTTATTTTAAATTTTTAAAAACAGATATTTGATCATGTTTCAAAGCTCAAATTTCCAACATAGTTTGAGAATTACTAGATTATGTCTGTGCCACCTTTCTCTAATTTTTTTATTGTGCAACTTAAACAATAATACAATGTTCATTGAGGGCTCTTCTTCTACAATTTTGATCAGGAAAATAATAGATCTGATAATAGAGGGAAATGGCTACTTGGCCACCAGAAGAGAATAATGAAGAGTCTAATTGAATGCCGTAGTGATATATGCTCGTATGATGCCCCATTTCTCGATATTTATCAGTCATTGATCCCGTCTGAGGAAGAAAAAGCAAAGCAAGAGCAGTTAATGACACTGCTGAAAAAAATTGTTGCTAAAGAATGGCCTGATGCTCGGCTCCATCCTTATGGATCATGCTCCAATTCATTTGGGTTTTCAAAAAGTGACATTGATATTTGCCTTGCAATTGGTGACAATGGTATTAACAAATCAGACATCATACTGAGGTTGGCTGAGCTATTGGAAGATGAAAAGCTCCAGAATGTGCAGGTTAGTATGTTGGGATGTTGAACATATACTTTTTCGATCTCATCTTTATTTATATTCCATCCGGCTCATATCAAGTGTCATTTTTAGGTTTGGTTCACAGTATGTGTCGTTATCAATAATCAAAGCACGATTGAATGCCATATTTTCCATTTTTGCCTTGCTTTAAGACCCCTATGAAAATGAACCTTCAATGATTATTAAATGTGGCGAGGCTTAATATTGTAGAGATTCCTTCATTTAATATTCACTTAATCTGTTTAATTTGTTCCTAAGCGACACATATTGTGAACCGGATGGAGTGGCTCGCTTCGGTCCCCAGATGCAACTACAGTATCAATGTGATATGGAAAGAAGAAGCTCATTATACTACCTTTATTATTCATTATTATTATTATTATTAGTTTCCTAAAGTAAGTTTCCTAAAGTATCAGGTGTTAGTTTCCTAAAGTAAGTTTCCTAAAGTATTAGGTGTTAGTTTCCTAAGGTTATTAGGAAATTGACTAAAATAGAATATCTCTACTAATAGGAAACTGCAATTAATAATAATCTTAGGAAACTAACACCTAATACTTTAGGAAACATTCATAAAAAAATATACTTTAGGAAACTAATAACAACCTTAGGAAACTAATAACAACCTTAGGAAACTAACACCCAATACTTTAGGAAACTTAGTTTAGGAAACTTATAATAATAATAATGAATAATAAAGGCAGTATAATGAGCTTCTTCTTTGCACATCACAATGTCAAGTTTCTTGTTTCAGTATCCTATGTGGTTTATGCATATTTATGGTTCTTTGACGACTTTGTGCTCTTTGACTATGACATGTATATAGGCATTGGTACATGCCAGGGTGCCCATTGTTAAACTCATGGATCCCGAAACTGGTATATCTTGTGACATTTGTGTGAACAATTTGCTGGCTGTTGAGAATACAAAGCTTCTTCGGGACTATGCACAGATTGATGCAAGATTAAGGCAAATAGCTTTTATTGTTAAACACTGGGCTAAAACACGAGGAGTGAATGAGACTTATCGTGGGACGCTGTCAAGCTATGCGTAAGTTAATGATGTATTTTTCGATAGCCATCTCTAGTAGTTTTGGTTTTCTTTGTTAAATATCTCATCACTTTCTTTGTTTGCTTTTAATTATGCTTCAGACTTTCTTGAATTGTCCCCCCAGGTATGTTTTGATGTGCATTCATTTGTTGCAGCAGCGGAGGCCTGCCATCCTCCCTTGCCTACAGGTTTGCTTTGATCTATTTTCTTTTGAGCTCTTCTTGTTTCTCTGTGTTCTGATGAATAATCCCCTAAACAGTGAAACGTAATATGAATATTTTCATAGTCTGACTTTGTTGGAGGGTATTATTTCGCTCTCATCATTGAGCTGCTCCAGTATATCTAAAGTTTTTTTTTTTTTTTTTTTTTTTTTTTTTTTAAATTTTGGGGTTTTCTCCCCTTTCTTGAATCAGTTTAGTTGTGATAATCAGTCTTTTGAGATCCCTTTAGGGTCTATATGAAATTATGGATTGAGGGCTTCCGGAGGGAAAAACTTAGAAGGATTTAGTCTATATATCTTGATAAATAGAACGTTTCTCGAAAGCAATAAAGTGTGGTTAAAGTGGTATATATCACAGATTATGTTAACTTTTAACCTGTACATAATGTCAAATGCATTAAGATCTACACACCTCCACGGACTTCCTCTCATAACCCCTCTAATACCCTCAATCTAATTAAAGCCCTTAGAAGATGCAAGAACCAGTGGCTGATTTACTTGACGGGTTTAGTCTTTTACTCTTCTGTTAGTTTGCATTTATGTTTCAACTGAAACTACTACCTGTTTTATCTGTGCCATAGTTTCTAGAGTCTGTATAATTGGAACAAATTGTTTTCATGCATTGTTGTACTACACTTTCTCATTAAGCTTAAAGGGGAGTGTGCTTTTAGGAAAAGAATCAATGGTTCTACAAATAAGGCATTACTATGTTTGCTTATTAGATTGGGAAAAGATTAAAATATGCTTGTAAGTCTGGCCTTAGATGTGAAAATATGTCCTCAACATTCGTCTTGACTTTCAGCACATCATTTAGTGGCCGATTTGCAAATGAAGTCAAACATCAAGTACACCTTTTTCCTAATTAGAATTTGACTAGAAACTGATTGGCTGTTTGTTGCTTTTTTAATTAGGGAATGAAAGTAACATACTACAATAATGTTGATGATGTCGAATGTGCTTATTTTGATAAAGTGGATGACCTTCTAAACTTTGGATCTCGTAACCGAGAAAGTCTTGCTCATTTAGTATGGGCATTCTTCACTTATTGGGCCTATTGTCATGACTATGCAAATGATGTCATATCTATACGCACAGGAAGCATACTGAGGTAACTTTTCTACCATAGCTACTATCATCACCTCTAACACTTGAGCAATTGGGGGGAAATAACTTAAGAGTCCGTTTCGTCAATCACTCTAAATTGGTTGAAGTGACCGAAGTTATTTCTCATATCAAATAACTTGGTGAATTATCTATTCCGTTAGTTGTTACTTGAAATTTTTTGACTTTCATGATTGCCAGTGTACAACGTTACCAAGAATATATTTAATTATCTATTGTTAAAAGTTAAATTTTATATATTTAAAATATGTAATGAGAGAAATTATCAATGTGTTACACAATACGATTTAATTTTACACATTTAATACAAAATAAAGTCTATATATGGTATGTAATAGTGAACAAAAACTTGCTGGGTTTATTTAGGAGCTAGTGGAGAATTAAGGTTTTCAAATGTAAGGTTTAGGCCTTATCAGTTATCACTAAACAACATAACTAATGCAGGTAATGCGCTGCTTTTTTCTGTTATAAGCTGATTCAATTAGCACGTTGAAGTAAAAACTACTCATCCTATCCCAAAATGATAGTCTCATTGCGGATTTTGAAGCTTGACTTATGAAAAGAAGTAACTTTTCTCTGACAATAATGCAGTTAGAATTAAAAATTATAATTACATATTTAGAAATTACATTTAAAGTTTTATTGAATCTAAAAAATTGGATTTGGATGTGATAAGCAGTTGATGCATAAAATTAGATATATAAAATTAATTGTGTTGACCGGTGAATAACAAAGTGGGAGTATCATTTTGGGGCAGAGGTAATAGTTGATAAGAGTGATAAGTGATAACCCAAAAATGGTGCCTATTAATGACATTAATTTCTTTGGGTCATGTTAACCATCGTTGTTGGAGCTTTGGTGCTTTGATTATTCTTCATTTTTTTTTTAAAAAAATAAACATCAAATTAGTAGTCCTGTTCTTTCCCTATTAATATACTACTATTTGTTATCTTTCAAAACATTATCTGGATTTATCACCTACCAAACAAACTCTTCATTTTTGCATCCAACTTGCTGGTTGAACACATTTTATGTTTATAAATTCATCACAGCAAGCGAGCCAACTCCTGTTCTTTTCGTATTATGGAATTTATTTCTTCTTTTTCAAAACATTTTCTGGGTATATCACCTACCAAACAAACTCTTCATTTTTGCATCCAACTTGCTGGTTGAACACATTTTTTGTTTACAAATTCATCACAGCAAGCGAGCTAAGGATTGGACAAGAAGGATTGGGAACGATCGCCATTTGATATGCATTGAAGACCCATTCGAGGTTTCTCATGATCTGGGTCGAGTAGTAGACAAGTTCAGCATAAGAGTTCTAAGAGAGGAGTTTGAACGTGCTGCCGAAATAATGCAGCATGACCCAAATCCCTGTGCGGCGCTCTTTGAACCCTATGTTCCAAGTTGAACCATCTATCTACTACCTTGGAGTGGACACAGTCCAGTTCTCGTTCCAGGCAGCTGGTTCTGATCACTCAAAACATGAGCCTTAACTGGAGCTGGCTATGCTCGGTTGGTTCTAATTGATGGTTTTCGTTCTACGTCAGTTCTAAACGGTGTTTATTCCGTTACTAAAAAAATTAAAATCCCAAAACAGGCCAGTTCCGTGCCCATGTTTGGGAGTAATTGGAACCAAATATGGGTTTTAATGGTTCCAATTCCGGATCGGAATTTTGGTTCAGTTTTGAGTAGAATTGGTCCAGTTTCAGTCCAGAACCTGAACCATATGTACCCTACTACTACTACTTCCACTACATAAAACCAGGAGCAGAAGTGGTCACGTGTGCTGTAAATGAATTACCTTGTTTAATTTTCTGTTGTTGGTCGCAGCAATGATTTTTATGGCTTTTAGTTATTCTACGTGTTAGTTAATTTTTATCCAAGTTCTATTTATCCTCAAAATAGCACTCAGGCTTGGAAAGTTTGAAGGTACATAATCTGGATGTGTATTTGATCTGCACTTGACGATGGTTTTGGTATTTTTGCAACTGTTTTTCTACATATACAGCCATACAGGACTACAGGAGTGAAAGGCTCTGTTCGAAGGTCCATGGTTCCTGTGATGGCAACCCTGCAAATGCCAACCTTGCGATAAAACTGAGACATGTATCCTTTCAAACTTATGTCAAACGCCAACCCTGCATCGTTCACACCACTCGTCAGTCGTCATTGCCAGCTTAGTTAAAACCAACTTCTCATTTTCATCTCTACTGACTGTACAATTCTACATGACTACACGCAGGGACGGATCCAGGATTTAGAGTCAAGGGGGTGAAATTTTTCCGTTAGTGTAGGGGGGAAAAATCGCTAGTGTAGCGGGGAGAATTTTTTTCCACTAATGTTGCGGGGCAATTTTTTTCCGCTAGTATAGCGAGACGAAATTTTTTCACTATTTAGGGCTCCGCTGCTAATTTTTATTCAAAAAATAGAAAACGATATATAACATTTTGTCGAATTATTTGAAACTAAAAAATATAAAAGGTAATTAAACATCAATCGATGCCTTTTAAATAACTTATGTCTTGTTTAACCACATGAATCTTATCAGAATAAAGAAATGGTTTTTGAATTGTAGTTTTTGTCTACCAAGGAGGGTGTTCATGGGTCACGAGAAGTTTTTTTAATATATATTACAATAGTATGTATAAGATTATTATCTTTAGAATAATATTATATGTAGTATTGTTAATTCATATATATGGTACATATTAACAAAATTTAAAACTAATTATCTATAAAGATAATCAAATATTACAAAACCTAGGAATTTTTATATAATGGGTACCCTAACTCCCTAAGTCTTAAACTATCTAAATTATTTTAGATCTTACTTCTTCTAAATCTCCAATTAAGTATTACTCCGTGTAAGACTATATATTAACTTTGAAAACTAAAAGTCAAGGGGGGTGAAAACATATATATCTAATTAAAGTATGCAAATTTTATGAAAATACTACATATATAATAGAAAAATTTGAAAGTCCAAGGGGGGCGGTCGCCCCCCGCGCCCCCCCTTAAATCCGTCCCTGACTACACGTATTCCCGAAGAAAATTCCATCATGTGTTTCCTCTGATGATAAACTACAATGGTTTTGATGCAGATCATTAACTACTATACTCCCCTATTTGAACAACTTTTGATGATGACAACTCCAAGTTGGTACCTCCCCAGAACAATATTTAAATAAAAAGAAGTATTTAGTGCACTTTAAAAACATTTTTAACAACAAAAGAACTCGGTTAAATTGCAATCACTTCCAATGTCTAGTTTAAGATTGAGGTTGGTGTATAGATACTTTATGAACAAACAATTAAAAATCATTTCTAGAGTGCAATAAAAACACTTTCAGGAGTTGTAAATGTTAACATTGAAAATTGAAAGTAATATAATTTAAAAGTAAATAGTTTAGTCTTGAACGCAATTCTCAGAACACAACATCAATGGAAAAAAGTACACAACAGTACAATTAGTCATGGAGCCGGTTCGGGCCACCCGACCCGGGACCCGGCCCGGTCATTCAAACCGGTACCGGGTGTTGACCCGAACCGGAGGGGAAAGCGGGGACGGGCTCTGGTAGGCTGAAAGGTGAACCGGCCTGGTCGGGCCTGTTTTAATTTTTTTTTTCTTTTTTTGATTGGGCTGGGTTTAACATGGGCTGGGCTGGGTGTTTCCGATGAGTTTGGGGGATGGGGAGATAGAGGGGGATGAAATAACCAAGAAAACCAAAAAAAAAAACATTTGAACCGGACCCAGCCCGGCCCAGCCCAGGCCCGGCACCGGTGGATACCCGGGCCGGTTCCGGGCCGGTTCCGGGCCTGCCCCCAAACCCATAAAGCCCAACCGGGCCCGACCCGGCCCGAGTCCAAGCCTAAGTACAATACTAGTTTACTCGTTTAGTATTACATTTACATACTCCGTAATAGAAAAAAAGGGAAAATGTCAAATAGGCCCCCTACTAATACGATAAAGTCAATTAAGCCCTCCGAACTCAAAAAACACTCAATTAAATCCACGAACTATAAAAAACGAGGCAAAACGGTCCTTTTAGCATGTAATTAACCGGTTCCCAGTTCCATTAGTCCACATGTCGCACAGGTGTCGCACACGTGTCGCCACGTGTTGCCATTTGTGACCACCCGTCGGCTGTCGCCACGTGTAAATGTTTACCTAGAATCGGTTAATTACATGCTAAAATGTCTGTTTTGCCTCGTTTTTTATAGTTCGTGGGTTTAATTGGGTGTTTTTTTGAGTTCGGGGGCTTTGACTTTCCCGTTTTAGTAGGGGGGGCTATTTGACATTTTTTCCCAAAAAAAACTCAAATATTACCTATAGCTTTGTGAAATATAAAAAGTGACCACTTCTCCGTTTTTTCAAAAAAATATGATTGATCTTTTGTTTAATTAATTCATTTTTTTCATTATAATTTATATCCAATCTTTTCCCTAGCCCTCCCTTGTGCAAACCTAACCAGCCGCCACCGGATCCGCAGCCGGAAAATATTGATGATTTTTTCTGACTTTTAAAGTTCGTCAGAAAATTCTGCGGGAAATTTTTCAACGGTCACAATGACATAGTGATGGCCCGGTTCTGGTCGGCCTAGCCCGGGAACCGGCCCGGCCCGCCACTGTGCAGGCTCGGACCGGTCCCGGTAAACCGGGATCGGTTCCGGGCCTAGGCCCGGACCGGACCGGCCATGTGAATCGGGACCCATTTCAGGCCTAGGCCCAGCCCGGGGGGTTGGGTGTGGAATCCCGGGCCGGTTCCGAGCCCTTAGCCAAACCCAAAAAGCCAGCCCAGGACCGGCCCGGGACCGGTCCATGCCTACAATGACATGTTTCACGGAGAGTGACATGAAAATTTGGCATTGTTTTCTATTAGTGACATGAAAATCTGGTAGTGACATCACATTTTTCCAAATGTATGACCTTGTCAGTCACAATTTCGTCCATATGTATTTTCCTTTTTTAAAACCGAATTCAATTAGTCATATTTAATGAAACCCCCTAAAACCGAATTTAATGTATCATGCATAGCTTATTTTTGTCTCTTAACAACAACAACAAGAATTAATACTTACTATATTCCAGCTTAAGCTTCTCACTTGTCTCTATTGAGTGTCCTAGTTAAAACATTTCAATTCTAGTTTAAGAAACGATTAAAACTCTCAATGAAAAATTAATTATCAAATATTAAAAATAATACACATTTACAATAACCCCTGAATAAACAAACATCTGTGCAAATGGTATATAAAAGAGATGTAGACTATATATTTTTCTATTTTGTGTACCTATGATTTTAGCAAAATGATAAGACAGTAAGGAACAGACAAAGTTCTGTTTCTGAGGGTGGAGTGGAACTACAATTCTACAATCTAATCATGGGTCATGGCTGCTCAGCTTGAAAGCACTATGAAAAATGAGCTCCCAGAGCTAATAGTTCTAGGCCCACCGGCGGTGTTCTCCGTATACGGCGGCAAGCTCGCCGAGAAATTCCGAATCCTGAAGCCGTGGGAGTCGTCGCTGCCGCTGGAAGAGTTTCTTTCGGACAACGCGAAGTCGGTGGAGGCATTGCTCTGTAGCACTACTAAACCGGTCTCTGCCTCCGTCCTGAACCGCCTGCCTCGCCTCCGCCTAGTCGTCACCACCAGCGCCGGCCTCGACCACATTGATCTTCAGGAATGCCGCCGATTAGGCATTGCCGTCGCAAATGCTCCAGCTATTTTCTCCATTGACGTCGCAGACCTTGCCGTTGGCTTGCTGATTGATGTTCTCAGAAGAATTTCTGCCTGTAACCGCTACGTTAAAAGTGGGAGTTGGCTCATTAAAGGGAATTACCCTCTCGCCTCTAAGGTACGTCTCACTACTCTGCTATTATTGAAATTTGAAAGATTCCCTTACAAACAAATTGTCTATTTTAATTATGCTTGAGGTAAGGGTGATTTAATATGTTTCTGCTCTTATTGAAATTTGAAATATTCCCTTAAAAACAAATTGTCTATTTTAATTATCTTTGAGGTAAGAGTGATTTAATATCTTAAATAATGTGATGTTGCCACGCACTACCTCCTGTTACGTGAGGGAGTGACGCACTTATTACAAAAAGTGAGTTTTTGCGGTTGATATTAAATTGATAAAGTAAGAATAAAGTAAAAATGATTTGGAACAACACAAAGTTTACCAAATTTGATACGAGACAATCTTAGTTGGATGCAAAAAGGAAAGATAAGATGATCTTAGCACGGAGGGAGGGAATATCTCTTTTTGTAAGACCTTTTATGTGAGTGTACTCATGTCATTGTTGTGTGTGCAAGTGGACAATTTGGTCAAAAGCCATTCAGGTTTTAGATTAGTTAAGAACAAAGACAGAATGTAAGAAAGGTATACATAAAACATGCACAAGAAGATTTTTCTGCTAATATTACCAGTTTACCACTTTTTTATTTGAATCTTTGCCTTTTGTGTGCCTATATTTAACTAGCAACTACTGGTTATTACTATTAAAATGTTTAGATTTAATACTTTCGTTTCAAGATATCCAGCAAAATGGTAATAAAATGTGCTCTTTTTCTGCATAGAATGAACTAATAATCGATGGTGGTTACAGCTGGGAGGGAAGAGGGTTGGAATAGTAGGGCTGGGAAGCATAGGACAACAAGTGGCAAAGAGGCTCGAAGCCTTTGGGTGTATCATCTCGTACCACTCCAGGGAGACAAAGAAGCATTTGCTGCCCAGCTACACCTTCTATGATGACGTGCTTCAACTGGCAAGAGCAACAGACGTCTTGATCATCTGCTGTGCATTGACCGATCAAACCCATCACCTTATCGACCGAGACGTTCTTCTGGCTCTGGGGAAGCACGGAGTGATTGTCAACATTGCCCGGGGAGCGATAGTACACGAAAAGGAGTTGGTGCAGTGTTTGTTGGAAGGAGAGATCGCCGGGGCCGGGTTGGATGTGTTTGAGGGTGAGCCTCATGTTCCAGCGGAGCTAATTGGGTTGGACAACGTTGTCCTCTCACCACATTATGCAGCTTTCACCCATGAGTCCTTTGCCCAATCATATGACCTCATTGTTGGGAACCTTGAGGCTTTTTTCTACAACAAACCTTTGCTCTCCCCAGTTTTGTATTGTTGAATTAACAAGGTAGATGTTGTTTGAGATAACTTGTGCTTCACAAAAGTGATTTATTTTAGTGATCAAAGTTCATATACAACGTGTTTAGTAAAAGTTTGTAGTGTTTTGAATATTTGTTTTTTTAAGGAGAAAGTGATTGTGATATACTATTGGGTGAGATTGCAAAATTTCCTAAATTTTCAACATAGTTTATCTTGTCTTGTCACAATAGATAAATTTTTCAATAGAAAGGTCAATTGTTCACTTTTAATTCCTGTTAATGCATTATTCAATAACATTCGTGATATACGTAGAATAACCTTATTCAATAACCTACTATTTTGAGATAGACTAACATGAATGTGTGATATACTATTACATTTATTATTGCATTTTTATACACTTGTGAAAATAATAACGTGTTTGTAACATAATCTACTACAACGTTGACACTGTTTATTTGATCCAATATACGTAGTACTACCTCCGTTCTCTTTTAGTTGCAACATTGGACTTTTTTCACTATTCACATGTTCTACTTTGAATACATTTTATTAATTGATATATAATTAATTAAAATTTTAAAAAATATTGTTAAATTCTTTTTATTCTAAATTTTCAAAATATGATTTTTTTAATTTTTTTAACTAATAAGGAATGAAAGATATTAATGGTCAAACTTGTGCGTTGGCAAACGTGAAATGTTGACTGTTGCAATATTCTACGTATATTGGATCAAATAAACAGTGTCAACGTTGTAGTAGATTATGTTACAAACACGTTATTATTTTCACAAGTGTATAAAAATGCAATAATAAATGTAATAGTATATCACACATTCATGTTAGTCTATCTCAAAATAGTAGGTTATTGAATAAGGTTATTCTACGTATATCACGAAGTATATGTTACTATGTTAGTGTAACTGTGTATATACACATATATACACATGATTTTTTTTGGAAAAAGAGACTAGTTTGAATGATTTAAAAACATTAACTTTAACTTTTACAAAACAATGAAAAAAGTTTTATTTAAGCAAGGGCGAACACCCCTTGTGGCCTTACCAATGTTGTAAAGTCGCTAATCCAGCAGCAGTGGCTGGCGGCTGGCGGCTGGCGGCTGGCCGCCTTACCCCAAGTCCCTAACCTGCCTAGGCGGACACCTACATCTCCCACTTTATTTTATGAGTTTTTATTTGGGCTAAAGGATCAAATAAACCCTCGAACTAATTTAAAAAATGCAATTCACCCTTTAAAGAGGAGGATCTGTCCGGCCATCGTCAATTAAGGCGGTTCCCGGTGAAATTTTTCGATGAATTTTTTTGAGCATCTTAATCATTAAGTCTAATTTTCTCATACAAAATTTCAGCTAAAAAATCAACCGGGAAGACAGTCAAATGAATTTTTGAAGATAACTCCGCAGTTAAACAGCGCAGTACATTTCAGAAAGTCATTTGACGGTTTTCCAGGTTGAATTTTTATCTGAAATTTGGTATGGATAAACTAGACTTAATTAAGAAGTTGCTAAAAAATTCATCAGAACATTCCACCAGGAACCACCCCAATTGGCGACGGCCGGACAGAATCTCCTATATAAGAGGTGAATTGCACTTTTTAAGTTAGTTCAACTGGCGTATTTGACCCTTTAGCCTATTTATTTGTAACTTTATAATGTTTTGACAATAGAAATAACTCATATAATTATTAAGGGGTAATTTGAGTTTGCACCCTCACTTTATTGTTCAAATTGAACTTTACACTCCCTTTTCAAAAATCTTTTATGAAAAGAAAATATGCACTTCAATCAAGAATATATTGAAGGCCAACATGATTATTCATGGAGGGATATTTTTGTCTTTTCATACGAAGTTGGGATGCAAATACAAAGATTTTAAAAAACAGAGTGCAAAGTCCAATTTAGACAATAAAATGGGGTGCAAACTCAAATTACACCAATTATTAAACATTATGTTTTTGTAATAGAATTATAGATATTAAAATAATTAATAGAATATTTTAAATAAAATAAGGGTTTTGTGGTTTTAGATTTCACCTGTGTCGCCTTTTCAAGTTTCTACTACCCCTTTTCTCTATACGTATTACACATCATTTATGTATGGTGTAACCGTGTAACATTAGGGGTGGACTCGGGCCACCCCAAGCCAGGTGGCCCGACCCGGAACCGACCCGAACCGGTACTGTTCAGAACCGGCCCGAACTGGTTGCCCGGCTAGGGACCGGTCAGGGTAAGCCCGGCCCGGTGGTTTTACGGTCCGGGCTAGGGTCACCCAAAAGACGGGCCCGGTTCCGGGCATTTTTTTTTTGTTTTTTCATTTTTTTTTTCTGGGTTGAGCTGGGTGTTTTGGGCCATTTGTGGTGGTTTGCTGGGGGTTGGGGGTTGGGGGGAGGGGTTCGGGGATCAATTAGAAAAGTAAAAAAAGAGGATGTGGCCCGAGGCCCGGCCCGGACCCGCCGACCTAGGCATGGACCCGGTTCGGGCCACCCGGCCCGCCACTGTGCGGGACCGGAACCGGCCCGGTTCTCGGGTCCGGGTCCGGGTCGGGCCTAGGCCCGGGGGGGGGGGGGGTCCGGGCTCAGGCCTTGTATTTGGCGAACCGGCCCGGCCGTGTTGGGCCCGGGTTCAGGCCTAATTGATTTTTTTTTTCATTTTTGGGGTAGACCCGAGTTGGGCTTGATGGTTAGGAGTGGTTTGGGGTTTTGGGGGGGGGGGGGTGGGGGGTGAGGGGGGGTTAGGAAAGCAAAAAAAAAAAAAAAAAAAAAATTAACCAAACCGGAGGCCCGGCCCGGACCCGGTGGCTACCCGGGCCGGTCCCGGGCCTTCCTTCCAAAAAAAAGCCCGATCGGGCCCGGCCCGGAACCGGAACCGGCCCGGGTCCATGACTATGCCGGCCACCCGGGCCGGTTCTGGTTCACCCATTGTCAATTAAAAGCCTGGCCGGGCCCAGGCCCAAACCTGAACCGGCCCGGGTCCACCCATATGTAACATGTTTATGTTTTTTGGGGTTCATCACTGCCAGACATGTCCACTTATGATCTTATATTTTCGCCCTTTCAAGTTTCTAGCCATATTTGCTATTTCTAAAAACTTATAAGCATCAATGATGGTTAGGGTATTTTAGGAATAATAAAAATGTTGGTGTAACACTAAAGCTAGATGCACTTGTATAATTTGTTTTAGTTAATGTACCATTCATTATAATCTCTCTATCTTCTCCTTACCTCCGTTAAAACCAAACGGTTTTGTTTCCAACATTCGTACGTGTTTCTTTAGGCATTTTAATTGTTATTGTATCCACTTAGATTTATTTGATTTCCATCCAATATATTCACTTGACTTTACATATTGAAATTTTCTCTTCGTTACCAAATGTATTGTGTGTATAAGATAAAAATTAATCTTGGGTAAGACTTAGCCTCTCCACATGTCATTTGGTTTTCACCTAATAAAGTTTGCTAAATGTTCTATGTTTAAAAAAATATTGTTTTTATATGTTCGTTAATATAAATATATAGCCATAAGTTCTTGCTAAAGTTATGAAATATTATTACATTATTAATTTAGAAGGTTAAAAAATTATTACTACCAGTTACTTCCCTCAATTTTAATTTTGTTTAAATTATTGGGTTAAAAAAAATCAGTGTAACTTGTTTTTAAACAAATACCTTTATACTGGCCAAGTCGATTATACCGTCCTGACCACTCCACTCTTAAGGAAAAAATATATAGAAATTACCCAATATAGGAGTAAATATAAACCATTGCCCAAATAAGAGTAAAATTTAAAACTTCCCTGAATAGGAGAAAACATTAATTTTCTACCCTTAATTCTCTACCATTAATTAAACTATATTATTAATACAAAATTCAATTTTATGTAAATTTTTATTTTGTCCCTTTCAGAATGAAACGACTAAGGATGTTTTTACTTGGACCGTGACTTGCTGGCCTGGTCTGATCTGGTCCGATCTGATCTAATCTGGTATGGTTTCTTTGTATTTTTATAACTATCCAAGTCTGGTCTGGTCTGGGCTGTGCTGGTCTGATCTGATCTGCTCTGGTCTGGGATATATTACAATCCAAGTAAAAACATCTTAATACCAAGCAAGACTTTACGAAGGATTGCGAAAATAATTACTTCAAAACTACACTTTTTTTAATTAATCTCTTATGTAATAATAAGAAAAGGTAAGTCTGCATGTTCTATTGAAAATGCTTACTTCAGAACTACACTTTTTATTAATTTCTTGTGGTCGCAAAGGTTTTGTTGCATCTCTTTGTTAGAAGCCGTTCTAATGATTTTAGAGCATGTTTTGGGACCTTGTTTTTGTCTTATCGGCAAACTTTTTCAACAAATACATAGCTTTTGATTTTGTGCTCTCAGTTGTGTAATAATAAGAAAAGATAGGGTTGAAGTTAGTTTTATGAATGTATTGGCTGAAGATCACTTTCGCTGTTTTTCATATATTATATTCTTTATTTTATTAACAAAATATATTATAATTTTATATTTCTTAAATCAGCACAATCAACCAATAAATCTGATTGGGTATCACCAAACGGGCTCTATTCTTATTGTTGTGTACCATAAAGTTCAGTTAGTTGTCCCAAAAGGAAAGTTAGTAAATAATAAATCTATCTTCAATAAAAAGAATATAGAAATCAATTTCACTTTCATAGGAATTTCACTTAACCTTTCTTCCATTTTGTTGATTTTAGTTTCATGTAGAAAATCCGAAATAACAAGGACCACCATGAACCTTTAAGAGAAGCATGAATCATGAATTCATGATATCAATACCATCCAACAAGGGTTTCTAAACAATATTTTAGGTAACTTTTTAAAAATCTCTATGTAAAGCCATTTGAAAAATAAAGAAAAAGAGATCACCCTATGTAAAGAAAAGCCATTTGTAAAAAAATCTCTACGAAGAAATCACATGAACGATGGTTAGCATGTTCGTAATTATGTATTCAAAGCTTTTTAGGCATGTTACTAGGTTGTATTCCCCTGTTGGCACCCTCAGAACTAAAGGAAAGTTTTACATATTGTGGCAGTCCATTAATTTATAATACCAATGTGATAATAAAACTAGACAATATTTAGCATAAAAACCTCGTTCTATATATTTTAAATGAGCAGATAAGTAGCTCAATGATTAAATGCTTATACACTTCATAATTCCTCTCCCACCTTGGACAAATATGATGCAACCATTTTGTTTGTCCAAGTATTTCCTTTAAATTTGAAACAACTTAACATTTTTAATTTATTCCATCCATTCCGTTAATAGTAATATATGTGGTACAAGCTAAGAAATTGTTTGGGCATAATATCGTACAAAATAATAATTGCATAAATACCATAACGAATTTTGAAATCATAGATCGCATTGGGCATTTTTCTATCGCGCAACGCGCGATACAAAACTAGTCAAGTAGATATATACATTCAAAACTTATTAAGCATAGATACGATCATACGAAGTATGCATCTAGCTATACTGCTATTATAGATACGATCATAAGACGAATTTGCAATCTACACATAAAGCTCGTCCGGGTTTATATGATCCCCAGATGGAGTCTCGGAGATAGGAACGCGCATGTACAAACTACAAATTGCCATGCAGATGACGAGGAGCACCATGAACACTCAGGAAACGGTAATGCAAAACATCACAAAAATAAAGAAGTAAATCCAAATTAGTGAGCATAGAGAGTTGTCTCCTCCTCCTACTACTACACCAGAATCCATATTACCACCCGTCAAACATTGGAATAGAAACTAGGAACAAGATAGAATCCCAGAACAAAAGCTAAAGAACACAACATATGCTAGATGACTTCCCAATTTCATTCAAGCAATTTCAGGTCGTTGAAATTGAATTGACACATCCAAGTAGTCACCTATCTGCAGAAGATCAAACAAATACGGGTAAAACTGCATGTAATATTAGAAAACAGATTCATGCTTCCAAGATGGTGTGGACAATTGGTACCTCAAATTTAAGATCACTCAGTGTTTGATTGCCATTATCTGGTCGTCTCCCACTTGGGATTGAATATGTTTTTCCTACCTGTAAATTAGGAACTTCTAAGCCACACATACAGTGATTCTTTCATATAACTACCGGGAAGTGGGAATTCATAATATTTCTAAAGTAAGATGTAAAAAGGGACCTCTCTAACAACAAATCGGCCATTTTTATCAGGATAGACAAACGAGAAGGATAATACAGCATCTCTTTTTCGTGCTTCAGGTGCCACTTCTTTAACCTGATGAAACAAGAATATACAAGCATTCCATTAAGCCACTAGGAGGAAAATGAAAATCATGGCAAACTACAGCTTAAAAATTTCTTGTTTAACCAATGTACAAATTTTATTCAGTAAGATATATCTATCAATTATAAATCATACATATAACTTCTATAAAAAAGATTGGTTTACCTTAACATATACAACTTGCTTGACTTTATTGTTTGTTATATTTTGGAGATCACATAAAACATTACTTTCTTTTATCAACTGAGCTTTTGCTTGGGGGGGGGGGGGGGGGGGGTGAGTTTGAAACACAGCACTTTTTTGGAGTGGGAGTATATTAAATTAAAGATTGGAGGAGGGATGCAAAGTAGTAAGCAGGGCAGTTTGCCAAGATTCACTGGAGGTGGAGGTATGGTAGCAGTTATGTAATGATACCAGATCAGTGAGTTCGCGTAGACTAGCATCCATCCAGGTATAAATTTGGACTTCATCTTTAGGTTCCTTCCCTCTCACAGCAAATTCACTCTCAGCATGATGCCCTCCCACCTGTAAATTGATATTTAAGAACTTAGAACAGTCTACCGCTTATAGATTAAAATGAAGACAAGCACATTGGTCCAAGTTTGCATGTGTTGTATGTGGATAATGTTCTCTCATATGTCTCATACGAATAAACCAGAAGGCTGAAAATTTTGGTTCACAATTTCACACAGTCAGGCAGTCAAAATTTAGGTAACTTATTCATATTTAGTGTAAAAAGAATTCACTGTGTCATTACATCAAGACATCTAGAAGACAGCGAGTCAAACGGACAGAGATCAGACACATTATTTTATGAAACACAATGTGGAGAAATTTCTACAGTGTTCATACCTTGGTGAAAACACGAAGTAGCAGTGGACATGTCTGGCAGTGATGAACCCCAAAAAAGATATATGCAACGAACAAAATATAAGATCATTAGTGGGGTAAACATGTTACACCATACATAAATGATGTGTAATAAGTATAGAGAACAGGAGGTAGTAGAAACTTGAAAGGGAGACACAGATGCACCATAATTGTTGATTTTATGACTTATTTATTTAATTATTTACTTTCAACAGCTAATGAATAGAGGATTGAGCCCTATGCTTCTTAATTTCTCAATGGAACATCTCCCTCAACTCTCTTCTCTTAAATCCACAACCAATTCAAACTTTATGATTCTCATCCCCCTTTCCACCAAATTGAGAAAGAAGAGAGAGAAGTGAAAAATAAATGCAATTGGTCTCATGGTTTCAATCACATTAGCCCAGGGTAACCATGTGCAGAATAAAGTCATGAGTGAACCAGTTCATTACATCTTATGGATAAAATCATTTTAATCATCCTTTTAAGGGGTTCTTAACTGCTCCTTCCCAACTTGTTAGAACCATTACAGGATAACCAAGTAGCTTCACCTAACAAGCGCCCCAAAGTATTAAAAATCATTTTGGTATTGTAAACCACACATGGGAATTGAATATATAAACTGGATACACAAGTAAAGTCCGAAGTTTAAGAGTGAGCTAAAGCCCTAGACTCCAAAAACCAGTTACTGGTGCTCATAAACCCAAAACCAATTCAAAATACAGAATGCATAGACTTTACGAGGATGAAGTAAAATCACTTTCATAAATGCATACATACAAATTATACCGCTGTTTTCAATTCGAGTATCTAGCGAATGTTTACAAGGAAAGATAGAAAAGTGGAGGTCAACCTTCTCGCGATCGACGGGTTCCGATCTAGCAACGTTCTTGGGCTGCATGTGACCAATAGGGCCTCTCGGCGGTCCTGGTGGCATCGGCCTTCTTCTCTGCACCTCCGCCATTGCTACCTCTCGAGCTCTCTCTTTCCCCCTTCCAAAAGTAGGACGCTGAGCAAAAAACGGCCGAATAACTTCTTCAAATTGAAATCTACTAGGAGGCCCATAATAGTCTTTCTTCGGTACATATTCTATTGGGCCAGACTCACATCAAGAGGAGCAACAAATATAAAGCCCAACTCGTGCTATCGAATCTAGTTTGGATCCAAAGTCCAAACTTGCCCTTTTTAACATAATGCATTTAGGGTTGGTTTGCAACAGTTTAAAAAAGCACTTCTCGACTTTTGGATTAAAAAAACACTTATTTACCAACAGTTTAAAAAAGCACTTCAAGGTTAAGAACAGTCTGAGATCATCACTAACATTGCCGATGTGTAGATCAGTTGGAAATTCATTGGGCTTGAAGGTGACGCTAGCAACCCGAGTTCGAATCCCCTCCTTGGTAGTTTTTTAAAGTTCATAAGTCACATCTCTATATCTATTTTAAACTTCTAAAATTATGCTTCCCACACCAGAAAGTGAGGAGAAGGTACCCCTGCTTGGTAGTTTTTTGTAGTTCATAAGTCACATCTCTATATCTAATTTAAACTTTTAAAATTATGCTTCCCACACCAGAAAGTGAGGAGAAGGTACCCCTGATATCCATCTACACCCCTGATCTTTATGCAAAGCTGTTGAGTGGAACTCGAGTTATAAAATTTAGGCTCGATCGAACTCGAGCCGAGCTCGAGCATTTAGAATAATTTCGAGCTCGAGTTCGAGCATATGTGAGTTAGGGCTCGGATCGGCTCGATTGCACCCCTAATCTGATCTGATATGGTCTGTTTAAATCTGGTCTGATCTGGTCTGTTTAAGTCTGGTCTGGGACTGAAAACAGTCCAAAAGAAAACATCCTTATATTACACTTATTATCTAGAGCCAGATCCGAACTCACAATTTTTTAAAAAAGTCCAGTATGACTCCCTTATGGTGTCCTATATGAGTATAGGGTATTCTAGCAAAATCATTTCCGCTCATTTTTTTTAGTGGAATCCCCACAAGAAATATTATAGAGCGATATGTGTCATCATCCCAATCATTTATTAATGAAATAGGGTTATCCACTACAAATTCACTATAAAAATGAATCGTTGCTATAAGGCCACATTGGCTATATGACTCCATATATAGTGGAGTCTAGGTTCCATAAAAATTGTGGAACACCCGCTTAAAAAATGAGTGATGATGATAGTATTACAATAAGAAATTTTTTGCGATTGCTTCTACTTTAAAAAAGTAATTTTTGAATTGATATTGGAAAAAATGTTTAATAGTAAAAGTTAGTAGTGTTTGAGAAAAAAGTGTTTTTGAAAAATAAAAAGTGGATACTGTTTGATAAAGTAAGTGATTTTTGTGCGATAGAAAAAGTGAAGAACACTTTAAAACACCTTTTAAAAGGGAAGAACACTTTAACCTGATTCCAGCTTTTAGCTTTTAAATGCTTAACTTAAGTAGACACTATCATTTGAAAATCTCATTTCAGCTTTTTTAAGCTAGGAGCTGAAAATCACTTTTTTAATCTTTTTGTTTTAACTTGTTTTTTTTTGGGTTTTACGAAAATGAATGTCTAGTTTCCCTTTTTGGTAAGAAATATGTAGTCCTTATCATTTCACTTTAGAGTTAAGTATCAAAGTAGGACTAAAAACTTGTTAGTTTGCACAAATAGGACCAAAAAGTAAACTATGTTTTGATAGGACTAATTATGTGTGCATTGAACAAATATACTCTTGTTGCTATTGAAATGTTTTAATTCATAATAAAATAATAAAATATTCATAAAAAAACAAAAAAAAACGCAAAAATAAAATAAAAATCACTGCCGCCTCTGCCGCCGCAGCATCACCACCTCCAGTCACCAGGGGAAAAAATGCCAAATTCATTACGAATGTCATATTTATGGTAGCAAACAATGAAAATGTTGGCTTTCTCAGAAAATAATATGCCATTTTTTGGCATTTTCAGAAAAAATGGCACTTTTTAGAAAAAATGCCATTTTTTACACCGGTCAGAAGTGGTGGTGAGGGAGGCAGTACCACCACCTCTGGTCACCGGGAAAAAAAATGCCACTTGCATTAGGAATGCTATATTTTTGGCAGAAATAATAAGAATTTTGGTATTCTCAAAGAGTAATATGTCGTTTTTTTGCCATTTTCTGAAAAAAAAAAAGGCATTTTTTACACCGGCCGGAGATGGTGGTGCAGGGAGGCAGTACAGGCGGTGGAAAAGGCGTCCATTTTTTTTAATAGAATTTTATGGAGTTTTTCTATTTTTTTTTAAATTTTTTTTAAAAAAATTATTATTTTAAAAAATATTTTGGTAATTTGTTTATTATTTTTCTACATTTTTTTGATTTTTTTCGAGTTTATTATGAATTAAACATTTAATTATGACTTTTGACTATCTTTTACTCATATTTAAAGGAAGGACAAGAATGTAATGAAAAAATAGGTATGTTTCAAATAGGACTAATATGGTCCTATTTTGGAATAAAAAAACATAGTAAGTCCTATTTTGAGTTTTTTGGCATAGTTTTAGTCCTATTTGGAGTAATTTCTATTCACTTTATTCTACTCAAATCTAAATCACAACTTTTACTTTTCAACTACTTTTTTAATAATGGAAAAAAGACAAGTGAAACTAAAACATACTAAGGGAAGGCAAATAAGAGTTTCGACTATTTAACTCACGAATAGGACTTATTTTCACATGAAGGACAAAAATACCCCTTTCCCTCCAACTTGATCGACGTCCTTTGCGAAACAAAAAAATATAGCTACACCTCACAACAACGAACCCCAAACTTGAACAATCCAAACTGCATCGTCGCACCTTAGCGGAACCCGGTCAAACCAACCTTCCTCCAGCATCCATCCGGAGCAACGATTTACCTCTCTCTTGGCAGGAGATGCTGAGACATCATCGCCTCTCTCACCGGTCTTGTCTGGCGGAGCCTGCCTGTTTAGATCTGGAACCAACCTTGCAAGAGACAACCTCTGGAGGTAGATCTAGGGGGTTTCTCAGCGAACTTGAGCAAAATCGCCACCGTGGAACCCGAGCTAGACAGGGTGGTTGCGGCGAAGCGTTTTTGACACATATATGTTGTTGGTGGCAGGATTGCCGGTGACTCCGCAGTTGTTTGCGCACGACATGATGGTCTCTGGTACGACCTTGAACTCTGTCTCCTCTTTTTCCTTTTTTTGGATGAAATGTAAATATATATTAACACCCAGAAAACCTATACATCACATGTCCTAGATCTCCTAAAACCTCCCCCACCCCCATATAATGTGGGGGTGAAAGGAGGGTTTTATTCGATCTATTATATGCCAAAAAACCCGGTATAAGACCTGGCCCATCAAGAAGTTCAAAAAACACATCGGTATAGCACCTGCTCGCACACCGATCAGAGGCTAAAAATCAAAACAAAGTACAAAGGTGTTGCAAAGAGCACACACCCTAAAATCAAAGACCATGCTCCATGCTACGGCATCCAAGATGTCCCTACCGCGGTGTCTCGGGTCCTCACCCGCGGCATCCAAAATATCCATGCCCCGACTCATCAAAATAATCATGTATTAGTTTATCCAAACCGCGGCATCCATAATATCCATGCCACGGCCTTCTACTCAAAATGTTATCAAGTCATGCGGGTATAACTTGAAAAGTATTTTATACACCACATGCTTAATTTTTGCAACGACCTCTTCTTCCATTATGTTTGCCTCATCAAACCGATTTGAATTCCTAGCATGCCATAGGTAGTATACCGTGGCACTAAAGGCTATCCGAACCGCTTTCCCCTTGATTTTTGATCCATTGTGGTCTTTTAAGATCCATTTGACCGAGCTAAGTAGCGTGGTCATCTCTCGTGTCATATTCAACCATTCCTTTACTTTCTCCCAAACCCTACAAGCGTAAGAACATCGAAAAAATAGGTGTGGCATTGTTTCCAAGCCACCCTTGCAGAGGTCACAACGGTTAACAATATGAAGGTAACCAAGGTTATCCTGTGTAGGTAACCGGTTCCTCAAGGCCAACCAAACATTGAATGAGAATTTTGGGGGTACGTATGATTTCCATATGAAACTCATCCACGTTTTTGGCGTCCTCTTTGTCCTCTGTAACTCATAAATTTTCCCCGAAAGGAGTTTACCATTTTCGGATCTAGTGTTTAGGCCCATAATGGTATCATTCAAATTATTAAAACATCCCAAAATTTGGTCCCGAATGTGACTCAATTTTTTCATAAACATTGAGTCACGGTTGTGTGGGACAAAATCCTCCTTTTCCTTCTTCTGTACCATTTTCCCGGTACTCCGATCGACACTATTGCACTACCGACCGACCACTGGTGTAAACGTTGATATATGTGACATTTTGTTTTTTGTTTTCTATTTTTTATTTATTTTGGAGATTCACTTTTTGTGTGGAGTATTCCACTATTGCAAATCCTTGCCATTGATAATAAATACATACGTAGTACTCCGAGTACGTAGTAATACATATTGTTAATAGTTTAGTATTAATAATACTACGTATTATAATATTATATATTTACTTTGTTGGACTTTATTACATTATTTGGCAAAAAAATTGTAAAATACTGTCATCAATGGCATTATTTTACAAAGTTTGGATAATGATATTTGGACAATGACATAAAGTTTATTACGTTGATGATTGATGTAAAAACTGCCATCAATGATTTTTACGATTTTCATTCTTAATACTGTTATTTGGACAATGGCATAACATTTACTACGTACATTATATCATCAAAGTTTTGATACAGTAATATGATGACAATGTCAACACCAACACTCTGAAAAAATGACATTGTAAAAATGACAATATCAATGATTTAAAAAATGACATTGTAATAATGACAATGTCAATTCAATGAGATAAAAAATGACGACATTGTGACATTGTCAACACCAACACTCTGAAAAAATGACATTGTCAATGATTTAAAAATGATATTGCAATAATGACAATGTAAATTTCAATGATATAAAAATGACATTGTGACATTGTCAAGAAATGACATTGTTTT